AAATCTCTGACAAGGAGAAGGGGATGTCCCAGACTATTCAGCAACTCTCTGGGTGCCATGTGGTCACCCAACCAAAATGTGACTCTTCAGCCAAAAAAGAAACAGGAATGGATGTTTCAAGATAGTCAGTGGACCTCCAAGGTCAAGGCCAGAAGGTTAGATGCAACTTGGAAGGTTAGATGATTCCTTTAAAGGACACTGTAGGGGAACTAGGATCACCATGGGGGAAAGTTTGGGGCATGAGATTATAAATTGTGCATCTGGAAGTCAGTAGACAGCAGCAGTTAAGACACGTGAATGATGCTATACGCACGAGAAAGGAACCTGAAAATAAGCTTTTGTTTGGTTAAAATGGAAAGATAATGTCCTTGAAGTGGTAACAGGCATGGCAATGTGTGAAGTGCATAAAAAACCTCCTAACCCATCTTTTTCATAAAAGCTAACAACATCCTCAATGGTAGTAAGTAGGAAAGGGAGATGAGAGAATACATGCTTAAATAATGTAGATGAGGGAAAATGAAATTTTTCCGGGAGGAAATGGGTAGAATGTATCTTTTATGTAGTATTACCTTTTTTTTTTTTTTTTTTTTAAACACTCTCCGGATTCACAACGTTCCTGTTAGTCTATTACAGTGCTTTGTCACCTTGAGGATCAAGAAACTTAATCAATACCATGCTCACCTAATTTAAGGCCAATTATTCTTTTCGGTCCTAAACACACATGAAATACAATTGCTTATCTCCAAACGTTATTCTGCACAGATTTCATAAAATCTATTTAATTGTACCCTGGAACATTTAAAAGACACCTCTTTATAGCATTTCATAATGGCAGTATCAATCAATAAAAGTAAACAATTCCTGGATTCGATTTGCAGAGTGCGCAGCACGATAATTTTTACAGAGAAAATCTCTTCGTTTTGTCTACATTCCAGACTCAGTGTGGTCCTGAGCATCAGTTTTTAGGGAAATCAAGTTCTTTTGATTTATCAATACAGAAAAACATTTTAGAACTGATGCTGATTTTTTAGCTAGTAGAACATGTTGCTTGGGATTCAAATACATTGGTGCATTTTTAAGCACAACCTTCTTGGGCTTCCTAGATGCTAGTGCCCACACTGGACTGTCTGTTCCTCTTCCAGCCAGTGAACAGACACTTATATAATTTTTGATCTAGTGTTTACCTTCAACCACTTCATCTATTTAGCTCTCACACTCAGGGCCACCATCCACCTGCCTTAATCACCAGACCCAGGTACTAAGCACTATGTAAATCCCCTATGCCCCAAAGACCACCAGAGCTATTCAAACCTGCTTACCCTGCCTTGTCTGTTCCTCCCAAAGAAACCACAGTAAAAACAAACAAACAAACAAAAAGCTCTTGCCCAAATTTCCTCCCCTCTCCTCCCCTAAACCTTGACTGATCCTGGTGCTTCCCCTGGTAGCCCTGTCTGGTGTGGTGTCCTCTTCCCCTTGGGATCTGTGAGTTACAACCTATCTTTTCGATGGCAACTGTCTTCTGATCTCTTCTGGTTGGCCTCACCATACCTGAATAATAATAAAGCTACAAGCTAATAAAAGTTAAGCTAATTGACATATATATAACACTTCATTCAAGACTGAGTTAAAATTCTTTACGAGTGTTCATGGAATGTTTAGCCAATATTGACCATATTCTGGACCATAACGCAAATTTCAAATAATTGAAATCATTCAAGTATGTTCACTGACCATGGTGAAATTAAGCTTAAAAATCAACTAAAAATAACAAAAAAGAGAAAATCCTTAAACGTTGGGAAAGTAAACAATATATATTTAAGCTACCAAGCAATATACTTCTAAATTATCCTAGTATCAAAGAAGAAAATTAAAAAAAATAAAAAAGAGAAGAAAGCATATACAATTAAATATATTTTAATTTAATGATAAAAGAATGACATTAAAATATATGAGATGCACTTAGAAAGTAGCACTTAGTAAGACATTTATGACTTTTTATTGAGGTATAATTGGCAGGTGATATTTTATTAGTTTCAGGTATACAATATAATGATTTGATATTTGTATACAATTCAAAATGATTACCACAAAAAGTCTAGTTACCATTTATCATTATACAAAATTAGAAATTTTTTATTGTGATAAGAACTTTATTTTTGTGATAAGAACTTTTAAGATTTATTCTTAGCAACATTCAAATATAAATGCATAAGGTAGAAAATAAAAAAGGCCAAAAAATCAACAATTTAGGTATCCAGTTCAAGAAGTTATAAAAACAATAAGTTAAACTTAAAAAGTAGAAAAAAGGAAATAACATTTGAGCAGAAAATGTTGAAAAAGGAGGTAAACATAAAAGAAGAAAATCAACAACAAAAAGAAGCCTGCAGGTGTTGGCAAACTACAGCTCTCCGGCCCAATCCAGCCAATACCTCTTTTAATGTGGGCCATGAACTAAAAATTGTTTTCACATTTTTAAATATTTGGAGGGGAAAAATCAAAAGAAAAATTATATTTTGTGACACATGAAATTCAAATTGTAGTGCCCATAAATATAGTTTTACTTGAACATAGCAATGCTCATATATTTACATGTCGCTTATGGCTGCTTTCAGAATACAATGGTAGAGTTGCGTAGCAGCAGCAGAGACTATATAGCCTGCAAAGCCTAAAGTATTTTCTATCTGGCTCTTTACAGAATAAGTTTTCTGACCCCTGGCATATAACAATGCATGGGCATGTAATAGGTACTTAAAATATACCTGCTGATTAAAAACTTGTCAAATGAATGAACAAGCAACCAATCAATTTGAAGACTTTGAAACCTCATTGTATCAGTGAAGGCGGTCTGTAGTCTACAACATCAAAATTAGTTATTGTAAAAGGGCCACCTTTACACAAGAATCTTGATAAGCCTGTTCTATAATACCAAGTCAAAAAGAGAGAAACAGAAAGATTAGGGAGACAAAGATTTAGAGACACAAAAAGAGAGTAAAAAAGTACAAACTGTCAATAGCAAGTGTGAAAAGGAGGATAATCCTACAAATCTTACAAGATATTATGAACAACTTCATGACAATAATTTGAAATTTTAGAGAAATGGAAAATTTTCTATAAAAACATAACATCAAAATTTTCCAAGAAGAAATAGAAAATCTCACCAAGAAGAGAAACCACATCTCTTACAGTAAATAAATTTATAAGTAAAAACCTTTTCACAAAGAAAACTCTAAGACCAGATGGCCTAATTGGTTTTTCCATTTGCTTCAGAAATAACAATAATACAGAAATTCTTGCAGAGTATAAAAAAGCTCATTTTTATATAAGTTTTATGAGTCAGTACTTAATGAGCCCTTGATATGAACATCTGACTAAAACATTACAAGAAAAGAAAAAAATTACAGAAAAATTTATATATACATTTATTACTTTTGGATAAATGATATATTTTACAAGTAAAATTTAAAAGCCCTGAAGACAAAAACAGAAAAATAATTTCTGTTGTTGTTAAATCCTCACTGAGGACACTTTTTCATTGATTTTTAGAGAGAGTGGAAGGGAGGGGACAAAGAGAGAAACATCGATGTGAGAGAGACACATTGATTGGTTGTCTCCTGCATGTATCCCAACCAGGGCCAGAAATAAACCTGCAACCTAGGTACGTGCCCTTGACCAGAATGGAACCCGGGACTCTTCAGTCTGCAAGCCTGAGCCAAACCGGCTAGGGCAGAAAAATAATTTCTTAAAAATAAAATATATAAATTTTCAAATTAAAATAATCCATCAAATATCTAGCTCAAAGAATAAAAAACTAAACAAGTATCAAAAATATTTCAGGAGGTGGGTAAAATGACACTTACCAAAGAGAAAAACAGATGCATGTAAAGCACTCAGAACCAAAATGACATCAAATATCTTATATGAGAAAAAATAAGTAGTAGTAACTAGAAGATAATATAATATGATTTAAAAATTCTGAGAATGATCTTCATTATAGAATGTCATGTCCAGGTAATTTACTAAACAAGTATGAAGCTGCTCAAAAGCTTAACCATGTACCTCTCATGCAACCTTTCTCAGGAAATTACTAGAGGACCTGTCTCACCAAAAGTGGGCATAAGCCAAAAAAAAAAGGAAGAATGGGATCCAGGAAGCAGGGATCCAAAGGAGAAAAGTAAAAGGAATTCCTAAGAGACACAGCAGGGTTAGAGAAACTATGCCAGATTGCAACAGATGTACAGAAGGCCCCAGAGAGTTAACACAAGGATAAGTGTGGAGCAAATAAAAACTGGCTGATGTGCTTGACTATAAACGCTGTCCTGGCTGCTTTTACAGCTTTGTAGAAAATTTTGGTGAAGAATTATTAGGACCCAAATAAAAGTAACCAAATGAAAAATTACCCGGGACAGGGGAATGGAGAAGTCTGTTCAGGAAAGGAAATGTAATCATAGTACACTAAATGGCTCAGCTGCAAGCATATTTGCATAGTTATAATAACACTGAATACTAATTTAACCCCAAATGGTGATGAATCATTGGGAAGAATAGGAATAGAGAGGTATGGGGAATAGTGGATGTAAATGAACTAAATGGCTAGCTTTCTTAGTAGGAAATCAGTAGATAAATCTGGAAGTAGTGGTATATAAGCATGTTATTTAGAGGTAAATGCCAGAAGCAGCTAGAATGGAGTTTGTCTGGAGTGGGCAGTATGGCGGGAGGGTTGGGAGGGAGGAGGACAGAGGACTGCTACTTTTTATTATAAGCTTTATTCAGCACAGGTTCTACTTTGATTTTTATGAAAATTAGATTTAAAAAAGAATGAGTGTACTTTCACTTCCACAAGTTAATAGATACTCAATTTCAAAGGCAAAGAATTATGGAGCTTATACTAGTATATATACTAGAGGCCTGATGCATGAAATTTATGCAAGAGTAGACCTTCCTTTCCCTGGCTGCTGGCACCAGCTTCCCTCTGGCACCCAGAACCCGGGCTTCTTTCACAGCCCCGGCTTCGTCCAGAAGGTCGTCTGGTCTAATTAGCATATTATGCTTTTATTATTATAGATATTGTTGAGAATCCTTTTTCTTCCTTTATTGAACGAGAAGCCAAAGACAGCTTTGTGTTAGAGAACTTTTTTGAGGAGAAACAGAGTAACATGTAGCTTTTTGAAATGGTGAGATTAGGGTAAGTAAATAGCTGCTGTCAGGTAAATTAAATGAGATGACCAAACAGAAAAATGTTTTACAAATACTGATTTATGATTTAAAACAGTACCACAAAGCCACCCATAATGCCAAATAACCCTACTACCACAAACCCAATGTGTAGAAGTCAACATGTGCAACATGGAAGAGATGTGTAAATTCACATCTATTCTCTTGGTTACATTCACATAAACAGGCAACATCTCTGAACATGAAAAATAATACAAACAACGGACACTTGCCACATCCATTTACATAGTGTCAGAAGATCTACCCACGGATCAAGAATAGAAATTGATATACAGGACATTATTGAAACAACTGAAATTTGAATCCAGTCTTTGGATCAGATGATACTATTATATGAAAGATAAATTTCCTGATTTTGGTCATTGTTCTGTGGTGCTATTAATGAATGGCCTATAGTTTAGGAGCACGTTGTCTGCAATTTACTAATAGATGATTCAGAAGAAAAAGATTATAGAAATATATGTGGAGAGAGATAAGACAAGGGAAATGCGAAGAGAAGAAAACAAATGTGAGGTAACAACTGCTTAAACTGGGTGCAGAATATATGGGAGTAGTATGCAACTTTTCTGTAAATCCGAAATTCTTTCAAAATGAAATATTTTTAAAAAGAATATGAAAGATTTCCCATAAAAGTGTGCCATGTTCATGTTTCTGGAGAGAGTCCTGGGTTTCATCAGATTCTAACTTGTAAACATTCCCTTCAAAAAGGGTCAAGAACACCCCTTTTCCATTATTATTTATATTTCTATATTTAGTCATATCCCCTCATTCTTCTAACTAGGGTATAAATTCAAATAGCCATGAAAAATCTTATATTAGTCTGAGTACCAGAGAACAAAGTAAGGTTTTAAATAAGCAATAAAACTTAACTAGTGTAAAAACAAACAAAAAGCGTTTGCTGCATTATCAATGAATGTTGTTCATTCTTGTTAAAACCCAATAGTTACTCCAAAACAATATCTCATTCATTTTATGATCATTTATTCTGGAAATGTGTACCAATTTTAAACAAACACTGTTCACTGTTACAAGAAAAAAAAAACACTTCAAAGAATCATTAATTGATTCTTTTCACTGAAAATGAAATTAAAATATATTTTCACATTAAAAGTAAGGTTTATTCATTCTGGCTGAGATATATCAATTTGACTGTGGGTGAGAAATAAATCAGTTTAAAATAAGAAAATGTCACATATATAATTTCATAAGTAAATGAATTGCAATTCAACTTTATATTTTTATGTTGCTTAATTTTATATATATTACACATATCATACATACATACTTGTTATACAAAAATATACACAAAAATTCAAGTACATAGTTTAATATCTAAAAAAAGGGAAAGGGAGATATTGCATTGAATTTCTAGTACTATTTTGTTTAAATACTTTTATAATTCAGATTTCAAGGGAACAACAAATCAAAAGCCACTAATTTTTCAGAAAGCTTTGTGTTCACATAAATTCATCATTCAAGTATATTTTTATTGAAACAATAAACTATTTGACTGGTTGCAAAGTCAAATGAATAAGTCATATTAAGCAAAAGCAGAGCTTTCTCTAACTCTGCTTTCATCAGCCTAGCATCCTTCCGACATATAAAATGCAGAGCATCACAGTGACTTTTAACCTGCAAGCGACTTTAAGCTGGACACGATTAATGCCATATTTTAGGGCTGACAATGTTATAGATTCTTATTAAAAACAATTAGAAATTTTACTTTGACTTTTTTATTCAATTTGAAAAACAGTACATCTTTTTCACTGTGGTTGGCAACTTGACGTTATACCTGAAGGAATAATTTAAACATCCTATAACAAAATATATACATAAACTTCTGAAAGATCTTGGTCTTAATTCAATTATAATTTCAATTCTAGTTATCAAGCAAATAAAAGAATTTTTTATTAACCATAGCATTAACATGTTTTTTAAAAAGTAAATTATTTTTTTGTGTTTAATTTTTCTAAATGTTGACACTATTGCAGATGTCCCCCATTTGGGCCCCCTTTGCCCACCTCCACTCATCCCCCCACCCCTCCCCGCTTTTCACTACACTATTGTCTGTGTCCTGGGGTATGCATAAATGTTCTTTAGCTAACATCTTCACCTTCTTCATCCAGTCATCCTCCCCTCATCCCCTCTAGCATTGTTGAGGCACAAAAACATTATGTGACTTGCCCAAGGTCATGAAAGGCAGATAAAAGCATTCTTTTTCTAGCTTAAGCATCTGCACTAACCTTAGGTTATACCATCTTGCAAAATTAGCTCAGTACAACAGATACAGAAATTAGATACATTATTTAGGAATGTTTGTTTAACCTAAATTGCTGTTAATAAACTTAATTCTAATAATCTATATGTTTATCATACATTATTAGGAATTTATAAGAAACAAGATCATTTTCTTAATTGTTAGGCATGTAATGAGTTATTGTTTAAATATGACACACTGAATAAAACAAAATGTATGTTACAATTTAAACAAGTTCAACAAAAGATGCTTTTAACATGATTTTTACAAAAATACTAATTATGAAACCTACAAAATTTAAAAGACAGTACCGCAGACATAAACATAATAATATAAATATATTAAATCGTCTTCTAGTGGCTGTTTTGACTTTTATGAAAACGTTCTAACAAAGCACTCATAATGTTTCCCGGTATTCTTTGGTGCTTATCAATCAAAGCTTGAACAGCATTCTTTGTCTATTAAGAAAACAAAAGAAAAGCCATTATTCTTTTAGTTCTCAATATAGATCATCTATTTTGTAAAGATTTTAATGTACTACTACTTTCAAGAAGCCCTCCCTAATTAAGCACCCATCTCTCTTCAGAATTAATGGTTTCCGTCTTAGTACAACCATAGTATATTTCTTTATACCTATTATGCTTGAATTACATTATTGTCCAAATGGATATTTTCTACACAGCATTTCCCCAGCATTGAGCAAAGCAATGCCTTGCACTCAACACTTTTTTAAATAACTAAGGGGAAAAAAATCAGAAAAAAAAGTAGCAAGAAATTTTCTAATAGCCAAATGAAGTTTCACTCCTTTCCATCCATTAATAAACTGTTGTACATTTTTCCTTTATTACTATACACACCAAGAAATTATATCAGGCAATGAAAAATGAAGAAGTGAGGAAAACTTTTGAATGAATGAGCGAGCTGATATACTTTGGTTCATTACCTAAATTTCTAGACAGTTTAACAGGAATTTAAATTAAGTCATAACAATGGAAAAGTCAAGTAGGATATAAGAAGAAATCTAAAACTACTTGTTTCCCATTCGTGACAAATTGCAACAATTTTCACTTTGAAATTAGTTGTGGCTATTTAAAAAAATGTTTTATGCACACTCACACCTTTCAATGAGCCTTTATACAAATTCTGAAACTTCCTCTCTTCTTAAATATAACTATTACACCCATCCCAAAGACGTATTTTAAAAATATGCCTCTCTAAACCAAAATTTTTCATAACTCAGTAAAATGAGAACTATTCTGTACAATTATTATAAGGATGAAATGAAATTGAAACTATGTCTTCATGTATTTGGCACAGTGACTAACACACAGATTATGTTCTGTGAAGTATAGTTTACATTTTTATACACTTATTCAAAAAATATTAGGTGCTTTGGAAGCTGTAACATCAATGAAACAAGTCTCACATCTCAAGGAGCTCACCCGTTAACAAGTATAATCAAATACCAAGTAACTAAAATGTAAGATCATTTGTGACATGTGTCACCTGAGATGAGAAGAAAAAGTATTTGTTTGTGTTTTTTAAAATGTTTTTATTGATTTTAGAGAGAGAGGGAGGGAGAGGGAAACATCGACTGGCCGCCTACTGCATGCCCCCTACTGGGGATCGAGTACACAACCTGAGTGGGAACGGAACCCGCAACCTCTCAGTGCAAGGCATGACACCCAACCGACTGAGCCACACCGGCCAGCGCTAATGAAAGTATTTGGAAGTTCAGCCTTGTGAGCCCGTTTGGTGGGCAACAACCAGAAAAAGACGCACTAACGAGGTACTGTTTGGTCTGAGTTTCCAAGGACCAGTAACATTTCAATAACAGTGAGGGGAAAAGCATGAGGAAAAGGACCACAGGTAAGCATTTGCTGAAGGAATGACGAGTTAGTGGGTTTGGCTAGAATTCTGCAAGAGGGAAAAGTTCTAGAGATCAGTTGCACAACAATGTAAGTATATTTAACTCTACTGAACCATACACTTAAACTAAAAATGGTCAAGTTGATAAATTTTATGTTATGTATTTACCACAAATTTAAAAACTTTTAAAAAATCAAGCTATGTATACAATCGGTTGATATAAAAGTCATAACACATTCATCCCATTTTCTAGGTGATTCAATAATATGACATTTATTGCTTCTTATGATATTTCATACTCTCTGAAAAGTATAATAGCAAACTGAGTGGTCTTATCTCATCTTCCCTGATCTCTTTGCAGGAATGGATGTGACTGATCTTTCCTATTTTTTTAAAAAGCCACCTGCTGACTTCTCTCACACAAATTTACTTGTTCTACCTCTCTGCTACTTCTCTTTCAGCCAGCTTTGGTTGTTTTCCACGACCTGTCCCTTAAATGTTACATCATCCTCTACAGTCTGTCCTCAGTCCCCTTCTGGCTCTCTCTAAACTATTCTGTAAAGCTCATGGCTTCAGTAGTTATCTCAGTGCAAATGACTTCTAAATCTTCATCACCAATTCTGACTTCTTTCCCAAGCCTCAGTAAAATAGTTACAAAAACCTACCTACATATGTAAAAATATGCACAGATATCCTGCAAGTAACTACACAGAATTAGCTTTCAGGCCTGATGCATTCTATCTCTGTAAAATCCCTCAAATCTGTATCTTGCTCTACCTTTCAAATAGATAAGATCATTATCTAACTCATTCATTCATCAAACTTTTATTGAGATCAATTAAATACCTACCACTGTACTAGGAACTAGAGACACAAAAATTCATAGCATAACCTCTGCTCTTAAAAAGGGCCCTTTAATTTTTATACATCTAAGTCATCACAATTGCTAGCATCATCACAAACCATTGTAGAGGAAGAGATTACATATCTGCTGGCTTTGGCCAAAAACAATTTAAGTGGAACTGATATGAACCACTTCCAAGCAGAGGCCTATTCCAACTGAAATGTTTTTAATAGACAAATCCCCTAGTCTGTATTTAAGGGCCTAAAAATGTCGCTCCTACTTGCTTTTCCAGTTTCATTGATCAAACTGTATCCACTGAGCTGGTGACACCAAATCTATTCCACAGCTGTTATTAAGTGCTCTTCAAGGAAAAACAGGGATAGGGTTTTGATAGAATGAGAGCTGAAAATGATCTTTGAAACAAAGCCAAATAGACCACTTATTGCAAGCCTTCTTAGAATCTCTAATATGTTAATGTGCTTTGCAAAATTCCTAGAAGGGAACTAGGCAGTCACTCCCCACCTGCTGTTCTAATCACATTGGACGCTGGACACTGTTGTACATGCAGTCAGCTTAGCTCCTACCACTGCTGCTTTGTTCATACTCTGCCTCCTGCCTCACGTCTGCATGTCTAGGACATGCCCACTTTCATGACCCACTTCAAATGCCCTCATTCTAGAAAGTTTTCCCATTTTTTCCCTCACAAAGCAGTCTCTTTACCCTTTGAACTTCATACTGGTATCACTGAAATTTAGCCTCCATATTGCTTCTAGGAATCTTTCTAAATGCAAACCTATTATAACACTCATCTGCCTTAAATAGCTCTCCAGCTTTCCGTGAACAAATCAATGATAAGCCATCATAGCCCAGAACCTTCCTAAATTTCTAGCCTCATCTCCTACAATATTCCTTCTAGCTATACCAGACTACCTTCAACTCCCTAGAGAGTTCAGGTTATTTCATGTTGTCATCCCTTTATACATTCCATTTCCTCTACCTCATTACTCCTTGTCCAGTTAATCCCTTCATGTCTTTCCAAATAGAATTCAAGCATCATCTCCATTGAAGTGTTCCTGATCTCATTCAGATACTTTTCCTTTGTGCTTCCATAATACCTTAGCACAGTACTTATCAACCAGGGTCGATTTTATGCCCCAGGCGACATATGGCAATGTCTATAGACCTTTTCTTAATTGTCACATTTTAGAATAGAAAGCTCTTTGTAGTGGGGGACTGTCCCGGGAAGTGCAGGATGGTCATCACCATCCTAGACCTCTACTCACTAGATGCCAGTAGCACCACCACTTCCCAAGTCTGGCCCGTTGTGACAATGAAAAATGTCTCCAGATTGGCAAATGCGCCCTGGGGAGGAAATCACCACTGATCTAGAGCATACTTGTAAAATAAATTAATGAATTAATGAATTAATTTTAATATAATAATTGAAAGTCAAAAAAATCTATACAAGGACTAAGAAAGAATAATTTACCTTTTCGGCTAATTCTTCTGCTGTTAACTTTGGATCATATGGAATGGGATCACCTAAATAGGTACGAAACTTCACTGGAAAACCTCCATATATTGGAGCAAATGGATAGCGGAATTTGTCATAAAGCCACCTAAATAATCCTGTTTTAAAGTAAACAAAATCATTTTAATTGGTTACAAATTCTGAGCATGTAACTGCAAACTCTCAATTACGTAAGGTTTAGAGGAAAGTGGCAAATAGTATCATCTCTTGGCAATTAATATTTTTTTAAAGACGAGCTTTTCATCAGTTGTAACAAATGTGCAAGATGTTAATAGAAAAATCTGGATGAGGGGGTTTATTGGTACACTCTGTACTTTCTGTTCAATTTTTCTGTAAACTTAAAAATTCTCAAAAAAACAAAGTCTATTAATATTTTTAAATGAGCTTTTAAAGATATGAGGATTTTAAAGGCAAACCAAGTACTATTATTGCAAAATAAAGGGTAAAGACTGAACCCAAAACTAGAAGCTAAAAAGTTTAGAGACTCAAAATATGTGATTTACATGAAAAAAGAAGAAAAAATGGAAGCATAAAATAAATTCACATAAACATGTGAGACTAAAAATGAATCAATAAACTAGGTAAAGACTAAAACATTATTGTAAATTAGGAAAAAATGTAACAAAGAATTAATAATGGTAATGATCAATATAAAATTTAGCAAGATAAAAGTGGCAATAATGCAAAATAAACTGACAAAATTTAAGGCGAAGTTTAAAGATAAATAAATCCAAGGAAGTCAAGCGACATGTAATACATAATCATAAGTTGTACTGGAATTTGAAAACACTGTTTATATATATAAAAAAACAGAATACACCATAAGATGCAAAGTAATACTAAAATCACTAGACACTAATGTTTGAGATTCAACTATTAAAGTAAAAAACGTTAAAAAGTAGTAAGAAAGAATTTTAAAACCACTTTGCATTTAAAGAAGTAAAATTAGGGATAATTTCTGGTATGCAACTTAAATTCTGAAGAAATGATCTGAGAGAAAATTAGAAGAAATAATTCCACAACAAAAATTAAACATCTCATCAACCTGCTTTTCCACTTTAAATTTGAAAAAAAAAAATGTAATGGAATACCAACAATACGTAAATATTGGACATAAAAGAAACAACAGAAGTTTAAAGTTCTTCAGGAGGGGATTTGTATGTGGATATAAACACTAACAATATAGTGCTAGGGATTTAAAATAACCATCAACCAAATGTAATACATAAAGCATAGGGTATAAAACCAAACTGAGATTTTCAAAATAAAAAGAAAACGAGACACTGCAGGAAAAAGCACATCTAATTATCACTCCTAGATTCAGAGCTTATTTTGCTACCAATAAGTTGAAGGTCGGCAAAAAGAAGTAAATGTACCGTGGTTCAAAATATTTTAAAAACAAACAAATTTAAAAAGCAACAACTGGTGTGGCTTAGTGATTGAGTGTCGACCCATGAACCAAGAGGTCACTGGTTCAATCCCCCGGTCAGGGCACATGCCTGGGTTGTGAGCTCGATCCCCAGTGGGGGAGGCAGCCAATAGATGTCTCACAACAATGCTTCTATCTCTCTATCCCTCTCCCTTTCTCTCTCTCTCTAAAAATAAATAAAAACATATTTTTAAAAAAGAAACAGAAATAAACCAAGGCAAATTATATCTTCTTTGGTTGTTCATCTTACTTCAATATTATTGTCTTTCATTTTTAAAGCTATAACTTCTTCAGGGGTGAGGTAAGAAGATGGTCTAAGTTATATGTAAATTTCTCCTACTCTTAACCAACATGTTTTAACAAAAGTAAATAGGTAATTTACTGGGTAATTTTAAAAAGTCAAATGACAAATAAGCTTCCGTATGTACATAAGACAAAAACCTAACATCTAAGAGCTGCCATTACTTAGAACATTATCATTTAGTCTTTAAATAGAAAAACATCTAAATAGAAAAAAATCTAAATTTTGAAACTACATAGAGTTCAAAGCCCAAATATTTAAAATATTATATTATAAAAGTAAAAAACAAAAAATAAATTGTTATAAATATTACACTGTCATTAGAAAAACCAAATGAACCAGAACTTACTTGTTCCTCCAAGTGATCTAAATCCTTCTCGAATATTTTGTGTAAACATAGGAATAATGGGCTAAAGAGAAAATTTGGATTAAAAAGTAAATATATTAATCTATTCAATGTCTCCATTGAGTAACTAATGAAAACTTTTGAGGACCTGTTTAAGATTATTAAAAAATGTACTTTTAAAATCAAGGTTTACTTTTATCACTAGTGTGATTTATCAGACTAAACTTGGTCATTTGTAGAAATATAAATTAGAAACACTACCCTCTAGTGGTAATATATAATATTTAGTTTACCAACTTTCCTATTCATTCCACATAAATCCTTAATACTCAAAGATTATAATAATCATTAATTTAATTAAATAAAATAAATGTGGGAGATCAAATTGATTCCAGGTGGCTACTGAATAGTATGTTTGCTGAGGAAAGTTACAAGACAGAGATTACCTCTACTGGAACATTTATATAAATTTAAATGACAGAAATTAGTAAAACACCATTTATTTTTGTGAGCGTATTAAATATAAAAATGTTCACCATCAATGAAAAGTAAGTATAATACCACAAAAAAAGGAAAAGCATATATATGAAAGAATTCTTCACATCATTAATTTTAGAGAACTTCTTACAAGTTCAAGGTTTTCATTTTTCTATGAATATCAATAATTAAGTATAATTTTTAAAATGAAGACCTTAACTAAATGCCATAAAACAATGGGTAAAGTAGCAAAGGAGCATATGAGAAGGGTATGCCACTGCAGAACTAAAGTAGATAAAAAATTGAACACGTTTAAACAAACACAAAATATAGCAAGTTAAAGGTTTTTAGAATAGATAAAACTAGGGGAAGGAGGGAGTGATACTTCACTTACAGTCTACCATCAGTATTTGATTAATACAGAAATATCTGTCATGGTGAGCAGGATTTGAGATATTTAAAAAAGCTGACATTTAAAAAGCCATTCCTCTTCAGCTTTGGGAAGTGGTGAAATATGGTGGACTGCAGGAAGAGACTAGGTATAGCTTTCTTCATAGAACTTATTACCTCACATATAACTAACTGATCTTTTATTTACTATATCTCTCCCCTCTCCCAGAACTCCTAATAGCACAGACACTGTTTTGTTCATTCCTGTATCCCCAGCACCTAGAACATAAAGGTCAGATACAGGCAGCAGGAATATTAAAAGTTAGGAAAGAGTGAAGTCAGGTAAAGAAAAGAAGTCAGGTGAAGGTTTTAAAATTCAATGGAGTTAATTCACGAAGCAAGCACATAAGACAAAGTACATTGACGCTTTTGTAAAAAATTCAGATTTCACCCGAAACCGGTTTGGCTCAGTGGATAGAGCGTCGGCCTGAGGACTGAAAGGTCCCAGGTTCGATTCCGGTCAAGGGCATGTGCCTGAGTTGCGGGCACAGCCCCAGTAGGAGATGTGCAGGAGGCAGCTGATTGATGTTTCTCTCTCATCAATGTTTCTAACTCTCTATCTCTCTCCCTTCCTCTCTGTAAAAAATCAATAAAATATATTTTTAAAAAATTCAGATTTCAATCTAGGAACTAGTGTAAAATAAAATGATAGCTGAAATCTCAATGTTTTAAATAGCTATGACTTTAGAATTGAGAACTTAAAATGCCCAAGGAACAGAAAACTTTCGGCCCATATATTCACTACTGTGCCTTGTCTGCTGGATTCATGTCTACTGACTGACATGAACCCCAAAGTTTGTATTGAAGTATGCATTATTTAAACACACTTCAGGGGATACATCATTCTTTAAATACCTAACTCTCCAGAAGCTGAACATGTCCAGAAACCTACTGGACAGAGAAAGCTTGCCTAGAAGGCTCAGTATTCCAAGCTATATTTTGGACACGTTGTTCCTAAATTTGCCTGCAAGCTAAAGCCTTTAAGCTACAAACATCACTTTATTACAACCTGATGTTGTAGTATAGTTATTCATTCCTTTTCTTGTGCACACTTTATATACAACATAGTTGCAAAAGTAACCTAGCATTACATTCGGTTTACATGTATACATGTGTCTCTGTATGTATGAGTATACATACATGTGCAAGAGAAAGAGAATGTGTATTTTGTTAAAACTATTCTTGAAGAATCAGCTTTACATTGTCTTGGAGTCCTAACTTTGCCACTAAAAAAGTGGGAACCACTGAACAAGTTATTTACCATGTCAAAGTCTGTTTTTTCATGTTAAAATGGGGCTAATTATTATCATATCTCAAAGATTTTTTTAGTAGGTTGAAATAATACATATAAATAATTTTATTAGAACAAATGCTATTTTCTTTTATATCTGTTACTAGAGGCCCGGTGCACAAAAATTTGTGGACTCGGGGGGGGAGGAGGGGGTCCCTCAGCCCGGCCTCTGCCCTCTCGCAGTCTGGGACCCCTCGGGAGATAACGACCTGCTGGCTTAGGCCTGCTCCCGAGTGGCAGAGGGCAGGCCCAATCCCTAGGTGCAGCCCCTGGTTGGGCTCAGAGCAGGGCCAATTGGGGAGTTGGGGCGCCGCCCGCTGTCATGCACAGAGCAGGGAGGATTGGGAGGTTGCGATGCCACCCTCAGTCACACTCAGGGTAGGGACAATTGGGGGGCTGGGGCACTGCCCCGTCACACTCAAGGCAGGGTCGATGGGGAGGTTGTGGCGCCAGCCCCTGTCACGCACAGAGCAGGACCAATCAGAGGGTTGGGGTGCTGCCCCCTGTCACGCACAGAGCAGGGCCCATCAGGGGGTTGGGGAGCTCCCCCCTGTCACACACAGAGCAGGGCCCATCAGGGGGTTGGGGAGCTCCCCCCTGTCACGCACAGAGTAGGGCCCATCAGGGGGTTGAGGAGCTCCCCCCGTCACTCACGGAGTAGGGCCAATAGGGGAGTTGTGGCACCGTTCCCTGTCACACACAGAGCAGGGCGGATCAGCGGGTTGGGGCGCCGCCCTCTATCACCCACAGAGCAGGGCCAATCAGGGGGTTGGGGCGCCACCACTGTCACACTCAGGGCAGGGCTGATGGGGAGGTATGGCTCTACCCCGTCACACAGAGAGCAGGGCCCGTGGGGGGGGGGGGGGGGTTGGGGTGCTGCACCCTGTCACACACAGAGCAGGGCCAATCAGGGTGTTTGGGCGCTGCCCCCTGTCATGCTGATCCCGGTGCCAGGAGGCCTCTCGGCTCCGCTGATCCCGGTGCTGGGAGGCATATTACCCTTTTACTATATAGGATAGAGGCCTGGTGCATGGGTGGGTGCCAGCTCGTTTGCCCTGAAAGGTGTCCTGGATCAGAGCGGGGGTCCCCACTGGGGTGCCTGGCCAGCCTGGGTGAGGGGATGATGGCTGTTTGCAGCTGGTCACACACCCTTCAGGGTGGGGGTCCCCACTGGGGTGCCTGGCCAGTCTGGGTGAGGGGCTGAGGGCTGTTTTCAGGCTGGGGGTGACTGAACTCCCAAACGCTCCTTTTTTCCTTTTTTTTTTTTTATTCTGGGCCAGCTTTAGCTTGAGGCTTGGCTCCAGCTCTTAGGCCTCAGCTCCTGAAAGTAGGTTTCTGGCCTTTGCATACAATGTTGCGAATCTGCTGGCTGAAGTCCTGTGGTATTTGTTACAATGTTTGAAACTGCAGGCTCAGAGGCCTGCAGCACCTGCGGAGAACATTGGTTTCCTCCGTCACTGAGGCAAGCAAGCCTCATGTTAGTTTCAAGCTGCCTGGCTGCCGGCCGCCATCTTGGCTGACAGTTAATTTGCATATCTCGCTGATTAGCCAATGAAAAGGGTAGTGGTTGTATGCCAATTACCATGTTTCTCTTTTATTAGTGTAGATTTGTCTTCCAACTAAAGTAAATGGGCTAATTTTTCCCAACTTATTTAGATATGAAGTTACCTAAAAATTCTTACCAAAGTCATAATTCTCAGGAATCCACAAAATAAGAGTGATTTATATTACATAAAAAAGCTGCAACTATCAGATGAACCTTAAATATTTTCTAACCAGTATTTTGTGAGCTTGCATTGATGATCTAACTTTTTAACTTTAATTTCTGTTACTATGTCACAATTGAAATGTATTTAATCCTGCACCAACAGTCTTAAATCTTTGGTCACAGTTTATGACAAATCTGTGAAGCTATGAACGGGTTTTCCAGAAGGGATACTTGTAACTTTTACAATGATATGACTGAAAGGTTTTCCTCAGGTATGGGGAAGTGCCCTTTGATCTCAAGGTCAGGAGGCTCACTGTGAAATGCCATCAGTAATGGCAACAGCACCAGTTGCCTGCAGTCCAGAACTGTGTGCTCTGCTCTGCTCTGCCCTGCTGGGTGACCTGGTCTCTCCATCCCAGCGGTTCTCAACCTGTGGGTCGCGACCTCTTTGGGGGTCGAACGACCCTTTCACAGGGGTCGCCTAAGACCATCAGAAAACACATATATATAATTACATATTGTTTTTGTGATTAATCACTATGCTTTAATTATGTTCAATTTGTAACAATGAAACTGGGGGGTCACCACAACATGAGGAACTGTATTAAAGGGTCGCGGCATTAGGAAGGTTGAGAACCACTGCTCCATCCCTTCATCTCTCTGTGCCTGAGTTTCCTCAGCTGCAACACTGGAATAATCACACGTATCACCTACTTACTATGGAGGAGTGCCACCATAAAGCCTTTAAAAGCACTGCAAAAGGCTGGGGTGGTACAAGATTTATCAAACCTATAATGGTCTTTTGTAAGTCAGTAATGTTGAACATTTTTGTTTATTTATAAACTGGTAAAAGGCTGTTTATTAAATTTTCTCAAATTTTATATAAAATCCTTAACTAAATTATCTAGACTATCTTAATTAATTATTTAGAAACTCTTTCAAAGATTGGAATCCGAGTTCCTTTCTCTATATAATTTATTTCTTTTGGGCCTTCTTCCAGGCAATGTCGTTTAAAACTGTAAACTTAAGGATGAGAAATTAGAATCCCATGATCAATGTCATTTTTATCTTAAACCTTAGAAGAAATAATTCTTTTAGAATATAAACTGAAAAATTAAACTGTTTGATTAGCTTTTAGCTTTTATTATTGCTTAAAAATATACTATATATCCTTAAATTTTGTACAACTGTGCATATTCCTTTTGTATTCTATATTATTCATATAGTCTAAGGTTTTGTTTTCTACATCAGTACTTAAGACTTTTTGGAAAATACAATTAATTTTCTATATTACTAATACAATTAATATAAAATAAAATTCAAAAGGCTCCTTTCTAGTGTTGATTAACAATGTTTTAAAAATCAATTTAACAAATACAAGTAGCCTAATAAGTGCCTGTCAGTGTACTAGGAACTCAGAATTTAAAAAGATGGCCTTGTCATCTTTGAGAGAGTTTATAATCTACTGTAGGACAACAGTATTTAAATTTTTACATTGTGTATTACTAACCCTTTGAGTGCTAACCAATATCCTAGGATCTATGCTAAAATTGCCAAGGAATTTTTGCTGATTTTACAGCAGTTTAGGAAAAAAATTATGAATTGCTAATAAATGAAGTTACATATTCAAAAACTTAAGGAAACCTTACTACACTGACATATTTAATAGTATCATCATCACTAATAAAAGCAGACTTAGAACTGGACGCCATTTCGAAGCTTTGATAGCGCTGCTGGGACTTTTGGCGAAAGACAGGAGGAGCGTGATCGCGCTCCCCGACGCTCTAGGGGTTAAACACTTGGGCAAGTACATTAACTGTTATACTGGGACCACATTATTAAAGCACTATACAGCAATAACTTACTTCTAAAAGTTACATATGCATACGTACAAGAGAGAATAGAGCTCAATGCATTGTATTTATTACAATCCTGAAATTAAAAAATATAGAGAAAATTTCCACTCTTTTTCAAATACTGGTCTTGGGTTAGAATGAATTATCCATTAGCTTTTTCTTTTTATTCAGTAGTCTGCAAGATGAATAGGCAAGCTAAAGGTGTACACTGAGCCCTAACCGGTTTGGCTCAGGGGATAGAGCGTCGGCCTGCGGACTGAAGGGTCCCAGGTTCGATTCTGGTCAAGGGCATGTACCTTGGTTGCGGGCACATCCCCAGTAGGGGGTGTCCAGGAGGCAGCTGATCAGTGTTTCTCTCTCATCAATGTTTCTAACTCTCTAGCCCTCTCCCTTCTTCTCTGTAAAAAATCAATAAAATATATTTTTTAAAAAATAAAAGTGTACACTGGTCTTTGTTGTGGCAAAATGGGTACACAAAAAACTAAAATGTGAAGTACTGGCAGCTGTCTTTAGCTAATCGATTGGCCTAGAAAAAGAGCACACTTTGTCCAAGATACTACTACTTGTTTTTCTCATAGACAATCTAAAATTAAAACAAACAGAAAACAAAGAAGAAACCATCCCATGAGTACTAAATATTTTATAGGACAAAGTACAATATGGAGACCAAAAGGCTGAGAAATATTTTCCAAGGCAAAAGAAAAAAATAAAATTCACATTCTTCAGTCTATTAAGTAGAATAATCGAATCCCAGAACATCTAACTTTGACAAATTCATTTGTAAAGTCTTTTAAAAAGATCTAAATATCACCCACACCTATTTGTCATTTTTATTCATACTACTAGATAGCTGATCACATTTCTTGATAAAAAATGATTAGTCATTTATTATTTGAGTCCTTTTGTAATATGAATTGATCACAGACAAAAGAATTGCAATGAAACCAACCAACAACCATCACTGACATATGCCAAGTCAATCGTACACAAGGATTAAAATACATAGAGGTGGACTGGTTATTACTTACAAAAATAAATATAACTAAAGAAATAAAAGAATTTTACAAATCTGATTAAAAGATGCTGAATTTTGAAATGTAAAATAAAATGTTGCTGAATATTTGCCAAATTTCCAGATTGAATTTTTCAGATGGTTTCCCATCCACAGGAACATTTCCCCAATGCTACCCTTTAAGAGTTATATACACTAACTTAAAGTACTGCAATGACAGTATCTAAATTCTTATATACTTTGGCTCACTATTTAAGCATCTATTATAAATACAACCTAGCTTTACTTTAGTAATTAGCTTTATACAACTCACCACTTCTGCATCAATTGCAACCTGAGCGAAGCCTTTACGATTACCCCATATGATGTTGTAGGTTTCATCACTAATTAGGGCTTCTCGAACTCCACCTGGTGAAATAGCTAACAAGTGACCACTCCTCAGAATTTCAACACATTTTTCTCTTGGTCCATGTAGAGCACAAAATACATCAAGTAATAAACTAAACCCTGTAAGAAACATTAGCATGAATATGTATCTTAAGTATTTCTTGTCCAATTCTTCAAGAGCAAATATCTTCACAACCTAAAAAATGTGCTATCTATATTTAAATCAGTAAATTCTTTTTAACTTTTTAAAAATCAACAAGAACTCTCAAGGTTAACATAAGATTAATATTGCTGATAAAATAATAGCTTCATCTTAAACAACATCTACTCTTGATGACATCTTAGTGATCACCTTCTACTCTGGCTACTTTACATATTCAAATTTTTAATTAAAACTCACAAAAACCTTGAAAAACAGGGATTCTTATCCTTATTTTACAGAAGAGGAAAAGTTGGTTCAGAGTGTAAGTGGCCTGCTCAAAGTCACACACCAAGCAAATGGCAGGGCAGAGATTCTGGTCCAAAGTTCCTTCCACTAGCATCTCATGGCTAAACACTGTCTACAGCATTTATTAAAGCAATCAGAAATAATCCTATCAGCAGTCACAAATCTAATCTTCCATTAAACCTGTAAGAAAGACTCACTCAAGAGCATGTGAATCTGACTATGCTTAGCCCTATCAAAACTGGCAAGCCATGATAAAATCTACTGAAATTATACGTTAGATGATGCTAATTCCAAGAAAATTTTATGTCAATAATAATAGCAAAATCATTAAGAGTTTTTACTAAAGTGAGTGTTTGACTTAGGAACAGCTAATTGCAGGTCCTAATATTATATAATTTAAAAAATTACAACTATTTTAGGAGAAAATATAATCCTGTCAAGTAATTAAATATTTTAAGCAAATCCTAAACTGAAACTTTAGAGTACTAATGATAGTATACATTATTCCTTAAACTGGAAAATGAAATGAGTAGTAAAAATTATTCAGACTAATCAACCTTCTCATAGGTTTAAGGATCTAAAACAAGATTATAAATATTATTAAAATTGAAATAATTTTCATGTTACATTATATTAAAAGCCCACTGATTTCATTAGAAGCAGTATCATAATAAATGAAAGAACAAGGGAGGTTTCCTGAATGATAAGATCATAAAGGGGGAAAGTATTTTAAAAGCCAAAGGCTAAATAAAAATATTCACTATTATGTATAAGAAGAAAAAAATGGAAGTACCCTAATTTTTCATAAGAGAAAACTAAGTAATTAAATATTTTAGTCATCCATTAAAACTATTCTTTACTTTAAAAATTATTTTTTTAAACTGCTCTTTATAAAACATGGTAAAATGTTAATGCTAACATTAAAATATTTTTTAAAAGAACAAAATTGTTTGCATAATATGTGAATATGTGAATTAAAAATGAAACAAAATAAATTAAAAGGCTAACTGGTTATATTAGAGTAACAAGATTACTAGTATAATGATGTTTTTTCCTCTAATTTTCAAATTTTACTATAAAGTGATCATATTACTAACTAAAGAAAAACCTTTGATAGTCTATTAAGTTTATACACAAAATACAAATGACTGTCCTAGCTGGTTTGGCTCAGTGGATAAAGCATTGACCTGCAGACTCAAGGGTCCCAGGTTCGATTCTGGTCAAAGGCACATGCCCAGGGTTATGGGCTCAATCCCCTAGGAGGCATGCAGGAGGCAGCCAATCAATGATTCTCTCTTATCACTGATGTTTCTATCTCTCTCTCCCTCTCCCTTCCTCTCTGAAATCAACAAAAATATATTTTAAAAAATACAAATGTCTTTTTAGTGACCTTAGGATACCCAAAACATTAACCATGTCTATGAAAGGCACTGAGTAGACTGTTATTTAATTCACTGTTTGGTGTTTGTCTGTCTGGTTGATAGGTCGCTTTTTTTTTTTTTCATTATTCCAGAGAACAAACTATAAACTTTTTGGCTTGTTTCTGGTAATTTAATAAGAGACGAAAATAAGATTAAATCTCAATGAGATTTTTTACAGAGATTTTTAAAAGAGAATTCTATTGTGTTTGAAAACATTTGGTTAATTAATCTTTTTTAAAAGGCACAAAGCCTTTATGAACAGATTAAAAAGAATGTGGTCCTCAATCTTAAGTTATAAGTCTACCTAGTATGAAGTCAAGAAATATGACAAAAAAAACCATAATAGACTCTCCGTACCAAAATATACATTACCCAGCAAAAGTTATAATTTAATTTTTAAAAGTAAAAGTTCAGGATTTAACTTTGAAAAATAAGGTCTAAATACCTGATAATAAAGAAAGAGATCAAATAAGCTTTTATCTATAATGAGGATAATTAGACGCTCCCAGATTAGAGTTCCAAGTGTGTAAACTAAAAAGGCAAAAAGTTTTTCCAAATGATACCAGAGAGCTCAAAGATACAGACTATCCCATAATTTGATTGTGTTAATTAACATTATGTACAGTGAAAGTTTACCTGGAATTTTAAAGACAAAGTGATCAGCTACTACTCGGCAAGTTCTGCCTTTTTGGATAAAAATTTTAGCCATGAAGTAATAAAAATCTATGGGAATAGCTCCATGGTAAAAAATTATAAGCGCTGGTCCTTCTGGTATTTTTTCCATTCCATGAACTTCATAACCTGTTAGAAAGACAAAATGCAAATACTTCAAATATGCTTATTATTAAGTATACATTAGGGGAAAAACAAAGCAAAACAGTGATCAGAAATTTGAACTGGGTGTCAAGAAACCATCTCTCCAATAATACAAGTAAAATTAGAGAACAAGGGTTTCAGCAAGGGAAGCAAATGACAGATTGTAACGGGTAGTGGACGTGAGGAGAGGAATGAGACTCTTCTAATTGAATCTGTTCTCCTCCACCAGCTAAGTTAATCTGCCTACTGTCCTTCACACTGTTACCGAACACCAATACATTTTTATAGCGATCCTGTACTGTTGGTGGATTGTGAGGAATATTAAGGTAAGCTCCACCTATGTTTCAGAGGAAAATACTCTTGAGTATTTTATCATAGGAGTTGGGAACTGATACTCCAAGGAACATGTGAAATGTGATCATGGCTCTAGTTATAAGATCTGCTTTTCCTTCCCATCTCACCAGTCAGGGCACAGGCTCAGCAGGTCCTAGCAAAAAGAAAAAAGCCTACTGAACAAATGGGTCAATGAAGGCATCAAACGAGAAATAAAAAACCGTATCTTGAGACAATGGAAAATGAAAATGCAACGTATTTGCCCTGGCCCATGTGGCTCCGTTGGTTGGAGCATCATCCCGTAAACTAAAAGGTGGCGGGTTCAATTTCCAGTCAGGGTACATACTGGTTAGGTTGTGGGTTTGATCTCTGATAGGGGCATGTATGGAAGGCAACTGATCAATGTTTCATTCTCACAGCTATGTTTCTCTCTCTCCCTCTCCCTTATTCTCATTCATTCTCTCTCTCTCTCTCTCTCTCTCAAAAAAAAAAAAAAAAATCAATGAAAGCATGTCCTCAGGAGAGGATAAAAAAAGAGAAATGCAACATACTAAAACTTAGTAAGATGCAGCAAAAGCAGTTCTAAGATGTTTTTGTTATTATTTTTCATGTAATAAAAGGAACACCATTTTGGTTGGTACTCCATCCAATTAAATAAAATTGCTTTGGAAGGCTTTCTGGAAGGAAGGAAGGAAGGAAGGAAGGAAGGAAGGAAGGAAGGAAGGAAGGGAGGGAGGGAGGGAGGGAGGGAGGGAGGGAGGGAGGGAGGGAGGGAGGGAGGGAAGAAAAAAGCAAGCATCCAGAGGCCAAGAGCATTATTAAGCTCAAAGAAAAAGGAAAGGTAAAAAGGAAATTTCCTTGACTATAGCAGAAAAGGGAAGGAAGTTCCTACAGCCATACACTGCCTCACACAGAACAGCTCTCCCAAGGATTGCTGTTCACATGTCAGAGATAAAAGAAGAATCCAGAATATGAAAATCTGAAACTTTTAGTCTGTTTCTTTCCCACAAGGTTTTATCCATTTGCTTTGCTAAGAAACAAGCATTCAAATAAAGATTTCAGTATAAATTTTAGTGCAGGAAATTCATTTTTATGGTAGTTTCTAAGGTCTTCACCAGATTAAATTAAGAGTGGTGACTGTGATTCTAGTGTTGAAAGCATGAACTACTTGATAATAATTCAAACGGACTCAAGATAATGATTAAGAATTTTTTAAAAAATTTAAATTATAGTTGACATTTAATATGTTAGTTTCAGGTCAAAAGAATGAAAGCTTGTAAAAATTAAATTTAGTGATATTTCAAGATTTCATGTTTTTGTTTTTTAACATTTCTTTCCAATTACCTAATACTAATTCAAGTTAATTCAATTTATTTTAAGCTGGACAGAACAATCACTAAAATTATCTGAAGTTAGCAAAAGGATCAACTGTCTCATCAGATACATTTTCTGAGAAATTAAGAATACTTCTTTGAGGAATTCTAAACAAAATATTTTTGAGGTTCTTTCTTGCTTTCAGAATATTTTAAAAAAATATTTAAGAAATAATTGAACTACTTACATATACCAAATCATCTGGTTGAAAGCAGGAAAGTTTAGCTAATCAATTCAATTCTTGACAGAAACTATAGTTTACTATAGTGCCAATAAACATAAAGTCCAAATATTACTTAACTGTGTCACTCTTAAAGCACAAATAGATCATACCACTCCTGGCTCGGAAAGCATCAGTGGATTATCACTTTAGTCCAACAAGTGATAATTGCCCAACTAGTGATATTATTCAGATTCTTTCATTCTTTCATCATATGGACCAATGATGGCTCCCTAACTACTAGTACGCTTTCCCACCTTTGTGCTTCTGTTCATCTAAATAGAGCACTTCTGGGCCAATGTTTTCCTGTGTAGCAGAAGTAGAAAACTTAGAGCACTTTAACTCCTCCTCTCTCAGACTCTATTCACCCGGTCACCAACTTCAATGCAAAAACTCTTAAATGTACCATTTTCTTCCCAATGTTAGTTTCAAAGTGTAGCCCATCGTCTCCTGCCTATACTACACCAATCCTGAGGGGGATCTGATGAGCAAGAGCTCAGAGAAAGCAATCACAAAGGCAATCTATGGTCAATGTCCATCCAACCACTGTCCAGGGAAGAGGAGCCTCAATATGCAGATTTTGAGTAGTCTGGGCTCCATTAAGAAGAACATACTCTTCTGGGATGAATATGGCTCTCTTATTTGATGCTGTTAAATACAAATTTATTACCTCCCCTGCAGTGACCCAATGTTCACTAGGCACTCTCCTGAGTTTTTGGCTTTCCATGTAGCTTAGCCCACAGAGAGCGGATCTGACGGCTATACTGGAGCTCAAGTAGTCTCATCTTCATAGCAGTATTTATTAGGTAAAGGTGTTAACCTGCTACTGGCTTAGACATCAGCAGCATGAATTCAGATAAGAATAATCTCCTCCTGAGATAGATCCCTTCTAAATCTGTCATAAAAAAAACCCTACACACTGCTCAGCCAGGTGCCTCAGTTGGTTGAGCACTGTCCCACCCACCAAGAAGTTTCAGGTTCGATTCCTGGTTGGGCACATAACTATTTGATACCTAGTCAGGGTTCATCAGGAGGCAAATAATTGTCACACATTCATATTCATTCTCTCTCTCTCTCTCTCTCTCTCTCTCTCTCTCTCTCTCTCTTCCTCCCTCCCTCCCCTGCTCCTTCCCTCCCTCTTTTTCTCTAGAATCAATGAATCCTTGGGTGAAGATTAATAAAATAAATTATACACATTATGGTAAATTTTAGGTGACTATTATTTTATTTTTATTTTTTGACACATTTTTTACAATGAACGTTTATATTAGTTAAAAGTTCCTTTGAAAATTCTTTAAAAAGCATGATTAAAACTGACTTGACACCAATACAAAATCCAAATATGCACACAAATGCCTTTTATATATGTCACTAAAGAACAGGATAAAGAAAATCATTTTAAAAGCATCATTTATCGCCCTAGCTGGTTTGGCTCAGTGGATAGAGTATCAGCCTGTGGACTGAGAAGTCCCAGGTTTGATTCTGGTCAAGGGCACATGACCAGATTGCGGGTTCATCCCCAGTAGGGGGCGTGCAGGAGGCAGCCAATCAATGATTCTCTCTCATCATTGATGTTTCTCTGTCTCTCTCCCTCTTCCTTCCTCTCTGAAAGCAATAAATTTTTTTAAAGTATCATTTATCTAATAAAAATGTTATCATAATAAAACATTAAAACAGTAAGAACTATATATATACATTTTTTTGGCGTCCCTGGGTGGGCTCGAAAGGTATATACCTTTTAACCTCCTCTGAGTCATAAGTGCATATTTTAAAATACCTCAATAATTAGACACCTCAAAATTAGATATTCTGCTACAAATAAGTTCAGCACTTGAAGTTATCCAAATTAAACCATGTCTCCTAAAATATAAATAAATTTCAACTATTCCTTACAAAGCATGTTATCCTGAGCTACAGGGGGAGGGAGTAGAAGGGGGGAGCGCGGGGGCATGTATATATGTGGGAGGGAGTATTGTAAATGACACCACTGAATTTTTGTATCACTGTTTTAAAGAGAATGAATAATAGCAGTCTTCCTAGATGCAGTCTCTGCAGGCACACACTCATGGAATGCTGAAGTATTGCCTTGCCTCATGTTAAACAACCATCAGAGAGTGTGAGAGTTGTACTGACTAACAAGAGCATTAGTATAAATGAGTAAATATTAGAAATTTAATTCATCAAAGACATATGGTTCCTGTTTGCAAACCTGCTGAATACCACTACTTTTGACCCTGAATCCCCAATCTGGGACGAACTCACCACACAGCACAGATTGTAAAAGCACACATCTTAGAGCTTGATATCTGAGGTTGCATTCGGGCTCTTCCTCCTAGCTTCCTAGGGTGCCTTGGGCAAATAACAAACTCTGCTTCCTCACAGCAAAACTATAAAATGGAGGTAACAGAACCTACCTATTATGTTATCCTATATAATAAAAGGCTAATATGCAAATCAACCGAACCACGGACTGGTCACTATGATGTGCACTGACTACCAGGGGGCAGACGCTCAACGCAGGAGCTGCTCCCTGGTGGTCAGTGCGCTCCCACAGGGGGAGCACCACTCAGCCAGAAGCCAGGCTCATGGCTCGCCTCTGTGGCAGCACTAAGGATGTCCAACTGCCAGCTTAGGCCTGCCATCAGTTGGACATCCATGAGGGCTCCCGGACTGCAAGAGGTTGCAGGCTGGGCTGAGGGACTCCCCTTCCCCTCAAGTGCACGAATTTCGTGTACCAGGCCTCTGGTAAGGTATAAAAGAATTAATGCATGTTAAACATTTTACAGTATATGGCAGTAGTTCTTAACCTTCTGGCCCTTTAAATACAGTTCCTCATGTTGTGACCCAACCATAAAATTATTTTCGTTGCTCCTTCATAACTGTAATGTTGCTACTGTTATGAATCATAATGTAAATATCTGATATGCAGGATGGTCTTAGGCGACCCCTGTGAAAGGGTCGTTCGACCACCAAAGGGGTCTCGACCCACAGGTTGAGAACTGCTGGATATGGTATAGTTACGTGCTCAAAAAAAATCTGTAAGAATGTATACAGTATTAAATTGACAACACATTAACCTAATAAGCATGTCACTGGTGATCTTTGGTAAGAGCAGCTTTATACTTACATATAATTTTAAGTGTCTGTTTTTTTTATTAAAGTATAATTGACATATAATATATTAGCTTCAGGTGTACAAAACAGTGACCTGACATTTATATTCCTTAGAATGATCACCACCTCAGATGTCTATTTCAAAATCGGTGCTTCCTTCTATGACTTTCTGTGAAAACACTTTTGATGCTCAACAACATGATATACAGGGCACATCTTTGTTACCAGCCTATTGAACGTCTGTATTTTTGTATAGTCCAAAACAAAAGAGACCAACAAATAAGGTAAAAAGTGATAGAGAAAAACAGCAAGTTCTTGAAAATGGGCCACTAGAGGGCAAGTTTCATGACAGCCAAATGAAGAACCACCAACCATTAAATGTATATTACATTTTCTAAAATAAAGAAAAAAAAATGAATATCCTGGAGATAAACGCACTGCTATCTCACTTATTGAGAAAGATATAATAACCTCTGAAATGAATCACACCTAAAAAGGTAACTTTTGGTATACAAATTATATTTAGTATTCATTTTTAAAATATCTCTACACTGGGAAAGTCAAACCTATTTTAAACAATAGGAATTAAATGGAACTAAATACTAAACAATGAAAGTATTTTCAAAACAGTTTTCTATGTTTTAAATAGTCTCTTACTCTTTTAGATGTCTTAAATATAAATTTTTATATTTTAGCTTATAGTAATAGTTTAACTGCTGTGTAGTTCTTTAATGGACACTAATGTATTTGGGAAAAATCATTTTAAAACGTATACCTGCACAATGCATGCAAATAGATAAAGAGTAAATATCCCATTATATTTTCAGTATCTTCTCAATCAGGGAAATGGAATGATATCGTTTCCATTGCCACAAACACAAAGAGCAACACACAGAGATCAATGCAATCTTGCTTACCATGCCAAACTGCTGCATGTCCATCCCACAGAGTTGCTACTGTCTTCCTTGCGCCATCCCATAAATTATGAGAATAGGCTTCTTTTAATACATTCTTCCTCTTATAAATGTGTAAGAAAACAATAGTAAGGTAGAGCAGAAAAATAGTAAAGTAAGGAAGTATTAAAAGTATTAGCGGTGTAAAAACCCATACGAGATAGTTTGCAAAATTCAAATAGTCCTCCAATTGTTCCACGCCAAACCATTCTTCAAATATGTGAATCAGACAACTCATATAGGGCATAGAGTCCTGTCCTGTACAGGTTTGATTTCTGTCTATCATTTTTCTTTAGGTGAAAATGACAAATTCAGTTTCTTTCTTCATTATCATGACAAGTCTTTAATTTTGCCACTAGAATGGAAAAATAATCCAATGTTATTCTTTTCATAGCTAAAAAGTTAAATATTTTAGTCTACATAAGTACTATATAAAGTCATTTCTACCAAAAATGAGTAGATTGTTGCAGATTTAAATGTGAAAATTATAAGATTTCATTTGTCCACTCAGAAAGTGTATCAGGTTTAGCTTTTGAAATAACTCACAAGTTATAACTGAGAGAGGGAAATAAGGCTGATGAAGAATGAAACTTCAGATTGATCTTAATAATGTGACTTTTACCTTAAGTAGAGCATACTGAATGTATCTTACACCAGGTTATGTTGAGATAACTCTATTCTTCACAAAAGATAACATTAATATCTGATTCAATAAAAGTAACTCACGTCTTTAGGAAATTATGACATACATTTTTGGATATTATCTTTTATAAGCAGGTTTATAGAAAAGCTGTCTTTTCCTTTGGCATTATGTAATAATAAAATTTTATCAGTATCATTTTTATCTTCTAAAAATTATCTTAAATCTTAAGTGACTGAAAATATAGCCATACAATTATTTTATGTTACTTTCTAAATCTGTCAGTTAACTTACCAGAAATTAGATAAATATTTTGTCCCAAGCTTCTATGTAGGTATTCTGGAAAACAGTATATAAATGGGAAAAAATATGATTTTTAAAAAGATAATCATCAATACTAGAGTTAAATTTTCCAAACAATAGCAAGAAACATGCAAAAACGTGTGACAAATATGAATACAGCCCACACTAGTGTATCACAATTAAAAATTATACTTACTCAATTATGCTTTAGTGAGGATACCTCTATATACTGTCTACATGTTGTTTACTTCCCACCTGAGACTTTTTTTTTTTTTTTTTAAATTCAGAGCTCAGAGCTATGAAAAACTTTGCTTCTTCAGAAAAAAAGAGAATGAAGTTTAGATTTGTAACTGATCATGTTTTTTGTTTTGTTTTTTTCCAGTAAATTTGCCAGATAATAAGCTGGTCAAACATGATGTTCAATGATACATTTATATTAGCCCTTATGATCATGTTCTCCCATTTATTTGTGAAAAATCTGGACCTATCATGGTAACAGAAGTAAACACAGCACACATTAAGACTGGGCTCATCCTGGCCAGGTAGCTCAGTTGATTAGAGAATCATCCCAATACACCACGGTTGTGGGTTCGATACCCGGTCAGGGCACATACAGGAAACAACTAGCCCTAGCTGGTTTTGCTCAGTGGATAGAGCATAGGACTGCAAACTGAAGGGTTACAGGTTCAATTCCGGTCAAGGGCATGTACCTCAGTTGCAGGATCGATGATCCTCGGCCCCATGGCATGTACGGGAGGCAACCAATCAATGTGTCTCTCTCACATGGATGTTTTTCTCTCTCTCCCTCCCTTCCACTCTCTCTAAATATCAATAGAAAAATATCCTCAGGTGAGTTTTAACAAAACAAACACACAAAAAAAGAAAGAAAGAAAAGTAACAACTAACGAATGCATAAATAAGCAAAACAACAGCCAAAACCGGTTTGGCTCAGTGGATAGAGCGTCGGCCTGCGGACTGAAAGGTCCCAGGTTCGATTCCGGTCAAGGGCATGTACCTGGGTTGCGGGCACATCCCCAGTAGGAGATGTGCAGGAGGCGGCTGATCGATGTTTCTCTCTCATCGATGTTTCTAACTCTCTGTCTCTCTCCCTTCCTCTCTGTAAAAAATCAATAAAATATATATATAAAAAAAAAGATAAGCAAAACAACAAATCCATGTTTCTCTCTCAAAATAAGTAAAACCTTTTAAAAAATACAGTGGGCTTTATTTACAGCAGATTCTAATAAATCTAAAGAGTTAAATCACTATAATCTACCAGTGTTTGATCATTTAGAATGTTAACATAGAAAAGCATTTTTTTAAAATTAGAGTTTTCCCCATTAGGATGGCTATAATTTTTAAAAAATGGAAAAGAACAAGTGTTGGTGATGATGTGAAGAAATCAGAACTTTCACACATTGCTGGTGGGATGTACATGTTGCAACCACTGTGGAAATCGGTTTGACAGCTCCTCAAAAAGCTATTACCCCAGAGTTACCAAATGACCCGGCAATTCTACTCTTAGGCATATATCCAAGAGGACTGAAAACATATTCACATAAAAATCTGTATACGAATGTTGACAGCAGCATCATTCATAACAGCTAAAAAGCGGAAATAAGCCAAGTGTCGTCCATCAACTGATGAACAGATAAAGAAAAAAGTATGCTATACCAGTAAGAGAATACTATTCAGGTATGAAAAAGTAATGAATTACTGGTGCATGCTACAATATGCATGAACCTTGATAACATCATAATAAGTAAAAAACAGTCACACACTAAGGGCCACATTTTGTATGATTCCATTTATATAAAACTAGAGGCTTTGTGCACAAATTGGTGCACGGAGGGGCGGGGCGGGGGGGGGGGGGAGGAGGAATGCAGGAGGTTGGCTGCCAGCCCTCGGCCTCCCTGGGAAAGGGACCGCATCCACCGCCACCCGAAGGCCCCAGCAGGGTCGGGAGAGGGGGGACAGTCACTGGCTGGGCATGGAAAGAACAGATGCCAGACACCAACGCCTCCCTCAGTGCCCCACCACCGTGTGGTTCCCCACCTCCCCCCCTCCTCCTTCCCTCACTGCTGTGCTACCACCATGGCAGGTGGGCAGCCCTGGGGAAGGGAGAGAATGGGAGCAAGACAAACCCTTGTGTTGAGAGCTGACTTTCAATAGATGGCAGTGAGGGAGCTGCTCTGCTACATACGAAACCCCGACCCAGAATCAGGTCTCTCTGAATGGTTTAGCACCAGGGGCCAATGGAGGCCAGCCGGCCGGGGGCAGGGGCTGCGGGAGGTTGGCTGTGGGAGCGCACTGACCACCAGGGGGCAGCTCCTGCATTGAGCATCTGCCCCCTGGTGGTCAGTGCGCATCATAGCAACTGGTGGACCGGTCGTCGTGGTCGTTCAGTTATAACAATCGCTTAGGCTTTTATATATATATAGATACCTAAAACAGGCTAATCCAGAGACAGAAAGATTAGTGGTTGGTTGCCAGGTGCTGGAGGAGGGAGCAATAAAGAACTGATTGCTAATGGAAACAGAGGTGTCTTCCGGAGATAATGAAAATGTTCCAATAGTAGCGATGGCTGTACAACCTTGTGAATTTACTAAAAACCACTGAGGTGTATACATTTTATAATGATGAATGTTACGGTGAATTATACCTCAATAGAAAAATAACTTTTAAATATCCTATATAATAAAAGGCTAATATGCAAATTGTCCCCTCGGGAGTTCGATCACCTGCTATGACATGTGCTGACCACCAGGGGGCGGCACAGAATGAAGGAAGGCCCTGGCCGGCAGCTGGCAGCCAGGGAAAGGAAGGCCCCAGCCAGCAACCGGAAGGCCCCGATCAGCCCTGATCACCAGCCAGGCCTGGGGAACCCTACCCCTGTACAAATTTCGTGCACCGGGCCTCTAGTTATTAATAAATTAAAATTTATGAGAGACTCTCAAATATGTTAGAAGCTTTTCTAATGCCTAAAAACCAATCTTTTTGATGCTCTAAAATACAATTAATACAATTGCTCCTAAAAATCTAGTCTCATTTGATTTTTAATAGGATTGCAAAATCTTATAATTCTAAAGCCTCTCCCAACCCAAATTGGTAATCGAACTACACCTCTTATCCTCAATCGCATTCTGATTTATTACACATACTAACACACACAGTAAAAGAAAGAGGGACAGTGCATAGGCAGACATCCAGTGAGAGTTTACAGGGAGCCCTGCATGAGGGACAGCAGTGCTTTCACAGGGCCCCAGGGCTGGGTGCAAGAACCGCCACAAAGGGTTGTCCCTGATCCCAACGTAAACCCTTCCAGAACAGAAAGCTCAAAAGGCGTCCCATTCCTTCTTCAAAACCACCCACTGAAGTACTAAAAAGATCTTCCTTATACATCCCTCACTGTAACTTTTCCCTACTGGACCTAGTTCTGTACTGTAGAACCTCTTCCATTAGACAACCTCTTAAGTTTCAGGACAGCTATCGTGAGCTGTGAAAACCCCTTTCTAGTCAGAATCCTTAATTCCTTCAACCATATTTCAGATGTTGGTTTCATAGCCTTTCACCCCTCAGGCTACTTCCTGATAGTGAGAGGAGCATGTAACCCACCTGTGCCAGAGAGAAAAATATACAGCAGGGCAAGAAGAATATGGAGATCTATAGCAGGCAAGACGACGGTACAAGGGGTAGAGGGGCACTATGTTACATGGGTAGTCTGGGAAGGCCTCTATAAAAGCACATTTAAGCAGAAACCTCAGGAAGTGAGGAAACAAACCATGTGGGTATTAGAAAGAGAATTCCTGACGAAATGAACAGTAAGTACAAAGGATGTATACTTGGTGTGGTCTGCTGAGCAGCAAGGTAGGCTAAAGAAGCATGATAGGGAGAGCAGTCAGAAATGGGCAGAGAGAACTTGTAGAACTTTATCTAAGGGAGATGAAGAAGACATCAGAAGAGGGAGATTGCCTCTTCTGGGTTTTAAATGACTGCTGAGTTAAGAATATACTATACAGGGAGCAAATAGGAAGTTATTGCAATAACTGAGATGAGTGATGAAAGTGGCTTAGACAGTGTGGCAGAGTGAAGGTCATACAAGATAATCCAGTTCTGGATATATTTTGAAGATATAGTCAAGAGGATTTGCTGATGAAAGGATAGAGAATATGAGTGAGAAACAGAAGTCTGGGAGGACAACATAGTTTTGGGGCAACATGGATTTGTGTCCTGGGAGGCACTGCTACTTACTGTGTGACATAGACAAGTTACTTAATATCCCTGCCTCAGTTTCTCCGTTTGTAAAATGGGGGGTAATAACAGTACCTACCTAATAAGACTGTTACGAAGACTGTATATTAAAAAGCTGAGAAAAGTGCCTTCCAATATATAAGCACTAAATAAATATTGCCATCATCATCAGCTTACTTGTGAAAGATGGGACTGCAGAAAGAACAGGTTTGGGGGTGGGATGAAGATCCGGAATTCAGTTTTGAACATGTTAAGATTCTTCTGGACATCCGAGCGAAGAGTGAAGGCAATAAATAGGCAGCTGGATACACGCAGAGTGCAGCAGGAAGATAGGGACTCCAGAACTATATCTAGGAATTGGCAACATATAGACAGTATTGAAAACCATGAAACTAAATATCCCTCTAGGGAGTAAATATAAAATAAACAATTTCCATGACTGAGCCATGAGGCACTTAACACTTTAGAATTTGGCAAGACAAGGAGGAACCAGCATCCTATCCACCTTCCAGGAGTGGCATCTTGGATGTCAAAGGCAGTGTTTCAAGAAGAAAGGAGCACTCGGCTGTTCCCAATGAGGCGGAGAAGTCTAAGAATAATGGATCAATGGATTTTACAACAAAGAGGCACTGGGAAGTCCCGATGTGAAATGTTTTTGTTACAGTGGGGATGAAAGTTAGCTGGAAGAAGTTCAAGAAAAAATGGGAGTGAATAAATTGGGAAGACAGCAAATACAGTCAACTCTTCAGAGGAATACTGTTACAGGAAGGGACAGAGAAACAAGTGGACATCTAGAGAGTGATGCGGATCAAGTCTGTTGTTTCAAGATGAAAGAAAGTACAGCAGTTTTTAACGCCAATGGCAATGCATCAGTGAGAGAGTGAGAAGTGGATGATGCCCCTGACTAAACAGGCAGGTGTTGTATGTTTTAAAAATGCCCGCAGCGCACCGGTTGCAGGGAACTGTGCTGAAGGAATACCAGTGCCACCTGGGCATCAGTAGCCCAGACCAAGCCCCCACATGCTTCCCCGGAGAAGCTGCCTGGGCCGTGCCAACCAATGCCCCACGCCACACAGCGACCGCTGTGGACACCTGTGGCGACGGTGCTCCGGCTTTTTTTACATCCTGATTATGCGAACGTGCCTTTTTTCATGGTCATCAGCAGCGTGAGCGCAGAGACTCGGTTTCCAGGCTGCAAACCCGAGGGGGACCCAGACAAGTGCCGGGCGCGTACAAGGCATGTACCCACTCGCACTATTAACACCACATGTGTGAGGTCTGATTTCGTCCTTTCATGTATGTTCTCACGAGTCCAAAAGGAAGCAGGCACTACTCATCGGATGATCACAATAAGGATCCAAAAAAAGGTGACGTCGCTTGCCCGGGTCACACACACGTCGTAAAAGGGACATCAGCCAGGACGCCAAGCCTAACACTGTGGAAGGCAGCACTCCCAACCACTCCCTACCCCCGCGGCCTCGCAACTCCACTCTGATCACCGCGAGCGCCGACGCACAGTAGGGCCGATTCCGATCCCGGAATCCGAGCAGTCACGGGGCAAGCGCAGAGGCCTCCAGCGAGGCTGCAGACGCCTCGCCCCATCGCTATGAAGCGGAGCACGCCGAGCTGGGGAGTTTGGGCGCTGTGGGAGCTGCGGAGCGGGGTGCATGAGTTTGTCTTGGCCCGCACGGGGCCTCCCCTCCCGGCCACTCCAGTGCCGGAGCCGAGCGCCAGGCCGGCGGAAAGCAAACCCGCCCGCGCGCCCCAGACGCGGACTCGGGGGGCCCCCGGTGAGGCCAGATGCGCGGCCTCGCCTCCTCGCAGCTCCGCGAGACGGACGGACGGAACCCCGGGCGCCGGGCCGGGAGGAGCCCGGGGAGACCCAGGCGGGGATCGACGCACCTCGAGGGGAAGGCGGGGGAGGCGGCTCGACCTCACCCTCGAACAGAAGCGGCAGCTCCTCGGTGGCTCAGTGGCTGCAGGCTGCGAAGAAGTGCGAGCGCCGATCTCCCGCGAGCAACCCAGCGAGGAACAAGCTAAAGAGTAGCTCCCACCCCGGCAGCGTTGAGTGTGACCCCGCCCCTCGGCCCGCCCCTTCCGGCGACCTCCCGAACCACTTCCGGCGGTGGCTTCCTACCTTGCTCCGCAGCTCCCCCAGCTCGGTCCCAGCCCCTCGCCCCGTCGGCGCGCCGGGAGGCCTCCTGTCGGTCTGTAGGCCCCTGCCGTCCCGCCCCGTGCACCGCAGGGCTGCCTCCTCCGAGGGGTACAATGTGCTGCGAGAAGTGGAGCCACGTGGCCGAAATGTTTCTCTTTATCGAAGACCTGGAGGAGGATTATAAGATCCTTTGCCTCTGCTCCCGGGCATTTGTAGAGTAAGTACAAACTTCGCTCTCCCTTTGCACGATTATTGCCCAGAAATGGAGGTGATGCAGACCAGTTGCAATGGGTCCCTGGAACCACGGCCAGAGAGAGTATTTGACTCTTGGGCAAGCTGATGTTTTAGAAAAAGGGGAGCCCTGCCTGGTGTGCTCGGTGGTGGAACATGACCCGTGAACCAGGTGGTCTCGGTTCGGTTCGGTCAGGTCACATGCCCCGGTTGTGGGCTCGATCGCCAGTAGGGGGCTTGCAGAAGGCAGCCCATCCATCATGATTGTCATCATTGATGTTTCTCTCTCTCCCTCTCCTTTCCTCTCTCTGAAGTTAATAAAAACATGAAAAAAAAGAAAAAGGGGGGAAAAAATTCACAGACTTTAGAGAGTGGTGGCCTCTGCCATTAAGTGTATGAGTAAATCTGTGTAGGCTGTAATGAAAAAATGTGGTAGTTGATATATGTCATTTTATATATAAACTGAGGGGACATTTTATTTATTTATTTTTTTAATATATTTTATTGATTTTTTACAGAGAGGAAGGGAGAGAGGTAGAGAGTTAGAAACATCGATGAGAGAGAAACATTGATCAGCTGCCTCCTGCACACTCCCTATTGGAGGTGTGCCCGCAACCAAGGTACATGCCCTTGACCGAAATCGAACCCGGGACCTTTCAGTCCATAGGCCGATGCTCTATCCACTGAGCCAAACCGGTTACGGCAATGAGGGGACATTTTAAAATTGGGGGAAAGTGAAATGTAAAATGAAATCCCGTTAGTGGATATGACATCACAAGGTAAAGGTTTAAAGATAAGTAACTTATTTTGGGTAACGTCTTTTTTAAAACCTTAAGATTTATTAAAGCACCAATTCACATAAACATAACTTGTGAGGTAAAAGGTTTAACTACAATTACATTCGTTTTTGAGCTGTCTTCTATTTTGGGAAAATATTTGTTTTGGGTAAAAACTGCTGTACCTGTAAGAAAGCTAGTGGGGGGAGGGGGAAATGCCTAAAAAATTGGATTCTGTAGATGGTTTTCTTTATGTTAGACTAGAGGCCTGGTGCACAAAATTCGTGCACCCGCGGGGTCCCTCAGCCCGGCCTGTGCCCTCTCGCATTCCAGGAGCCCTCAGGAGATGTCCAATTGATGGTTTAGGCTCACCCTCCACAAGGAATGGGCCTAAGCCGTCAGTCAGACATCCTTAACGCTGCGCAGAGGTGGGAGAGGCTCCCGCCACTGCCGCTGCGCTCGCCAGCCATGAGATGAGCCGGTCTTCTGGCTGAGTGGGGCTCCCCCTATGGGAGCACACTGACCACCAGGGGGCAGCTCCCGCATTGAGTGTGTCTGCCCCCTGGTGGTCAGAGTGTGTCACAGTGACCCGTCGTTCTGCTGTTAGGTTGATTTGCATATTAGCTTTTTATTATATAGGATGTGTAAGTTCATATCTAAAACAGGTATGTTTACCATAATCATCTCACAGGCTTACTGCTAGATTCAACTTGTGGAACTGAATTTTATGTGAGAGACTTTTAATAGAGTTTAATGTAGTAGAGTTTTAGTTTGAAGTTATTCTTACTATTCATCATGTGTTTTTGTGAAGTAATCTGCAAATTCAAGAAGAAATGGAAAACTATGTTAAATTTAATGTGAAAAGTATTTCTGTTTTTGTAGTTATGTGTGCATATATTCATTCAACGAATGATTTTTGTGCTCCTTTGTTTTAGGTACTAGTAGGCACTGGGGTACAAGACACAGCCCTTCCTTAACACATTTTGACTTTACTTACTGGCCAAGGAGATCAATATTAAGACAACTGTTACATAATCCTTTGGTTAGTTAAAGTTATAAGTGCTATGGGAGGGAAGTTCAGGATGCTATGATAGCAAACACCTAGCCTTGAGGTTTAAAGGGTGAGTGGAAATAAACTGGGGGTGGGCAGAAGCATTCCTGCAAGCAGAACTCTAAAATCCTGAGGAAGCACAAGAAAGCCTGTGAAACTGAAACAAAATGACTGGCAAAGAAAGAAGACAGAGTTGGTGAGATAGACAGTGTAAGAGCATGGAGGACTCTGTGGAAGAATGGATCAGATTTGCATTTTTGCAGATCACCCTGGGTAATCAGCAGCACCTGGGGGATGGTTCAAAGGAGGGGAACCACATAATCCTTTTTCAGGCTACAAGTTCTGGGTGACTTGGATAAAGATTGATGGCAGTGGAAATGGAGAATGGAGAGAAACTGTTGAGATTAAGGAGTTGGAATGGATGTGAGGGAATAAAGGAAAGGAATAGGATGAGAAAGAATAGGTCAAGGGTAACTCCCTTGCTGAAATGGTGGCATGGTAGAAAGCTGCTTGTGCTGTAAAAAGCAGGCTTTGATTATTTATTCTTTAAGTGATGAATTTTGAAGTAATTTTAAACTTACAAGAATAATTCAAAGAACTTCCATATTCCCACCACCCAGATTCACCACTCTCCATAACACACACACACCATCGTAGTGTTTTTCTGGACCGTTTGAGAACACGCTGCAGATCTGATTATCACTACCAAATACTTTATTGTGTATTTCCCCAAAACAAGTATATCCTACACAACTACTGTAGTCATTGAGACTAAATTGTTTTATCTTGATTTATGTTTCAGTTTGCTAAAATATTTAAATAAGTACTTCATTTTATGTTAGTCTCCAAAACAACCTTTGCTCGGACGATGAATATCTTGTCTACTAGGCAATGAATATTTTGGCCTATTTGCAGATGGACTGTGGTTTGCATGTAGATTTTACATATGTATCAGATAAATCTTATCATATTTATGCTTCCCTTTTACAGCAAATTTAGAGAGCATTTCATTGTTTGTGCATCATAAGGAGGATTGGGTTCTTCCCCCAATATCCTGAATACCACTTATTTTAATAATTAGCTATGCCCTGGCCGGTGGGCTAAGTGGTTAGAGCATCAACCCACACTCCACAGGGCCTCGGGTTTGATTCCCAGTCAAGGGCACATACCTGGGTTGCATGTTCGGTCCCTGGCCCTGTGGGAGGCAACTAGTCAATGTGTCTCTCTCACCTGGTTATCTCTTTTTTTTTCATCCTCTTCTCACCCTCTCTCCCTCCCTTCCACTCTCACTAAAAATCAATGGAAAAAATATCTTCAGATGAAGATTAACAAAAATAGTATCTAGTAGTTGTAAACGCTTGCCACAATACTAAATGTTTTACAGATACTGCCAATCCTTATAACAACCTTATGAGATAGGCATTACTATTTCTGTATTACAAATTAGGAAAATATATTAGCATATTATTTTTCTATCTTTAACCTTTGTATTAACCTATGTTGCTTTGAATTTATTTCTTCTCTAAATTTATAATTTAATTTTTTTCAATACTGACTTTAATTTGTTTCACAGAGATCGAAAATTGTGCAATTTGGGATTAAAAGGCTACTATGTTAAAGGCAACGGCAACAGTGCAGGTAATAATACAGTATAAACTATATCATCCTTTTTTGCTAAAATTAACCATAGCACTATATTCATTATAATTCGTTATAAATACTGTATTAATTTCTTAGCATAACATATCATGTGGCAAGAATATTCTGTAATCATAGTCATTTTTTTTATAGCATGGTTCTAGAATCCCTATCAAAGCAGAAATTTTCTGTTCTTATAGCAAACTCCTATATGGAGTTGAGGTAGCCTCTTTTGCTCCATGTAGCATTCCTTCCTGAGTTGTTGCCATTAGATAAAAGCAACTTGAAATTTGAGGCTTTGAAAAGTAGAGAACATTAGTTTCTAATGCAGAATTTTATTGTTTTAAAACAGTGATGGTGAACCTATGACACACGTGTCAGAGGTGACACGCGAACTCATTTTTTTGGTTGATTTTTCTTTGTTAAGTGGCATTTAAATATATAAAATAAATATCAAAAATATAAGTCTTTGTTTTACTATGGTTGCAAAGATCAAAAAATTTCTATATGTGACATGGCACCAGAGTTAAGTTAGGGTTTTTCAAAATGCTGACACGCCGAGCTCAAAAGGTTCGCCATCACTGTTTTAAAAGCTAAACTGAGGCATATCAAAAATTTTCCAGATTTTATTTGTGCATACGTTCATTCAGATTGAGCAGCACCTAACCAAAGGTAGTTAGGAGCACTCTGAAGATGAAGTAGAAGCGTATTTACAGAGGAGATGCAGAAACAAAACAATCAGTTGTGATTGAAGTACCCGTGAGGGGCCTGAACACATAACCTCTCACCTCTCTTATTAGCAGCTCCTAAAATAACTTAACAAATCCTCCTTTTAAATCCACTGATCTAGTGCAGTAATACTGCAGAGAAGGAATATCAAAATGTAAAAATTTGCCTCATGGTTACTCTACTGTGTTCCTTCTTATAGCCTCAGTGCTTTGCACAATGCCCAGCACAAAGGAGATGCTCAAGAATTATAAGTTGAATGGGCAGCTAGATGGATAGTGGTAGGCAGAGCCAGACTAGAAATTGTCTCTTTATTCTTAGTTGGCCATTTTTTACTAGTCCATATTGCCATCAATTTCCTTTTTTCCCCCTTAAAAATTGTAACAATTGCACACCTTTGGGCAAGGCATGTAATAACTCTGGGTCTCAGGCTTTCTTCATTAAAATGAGGATCAAACCTGCATCTAAATTTTTTCTAAAGTTAACAAATGCTATCTATAGGAGACCAAGCTACAGAAGAGGAGGAAAGTTGTAATTTCCATGGCAATAAAGAATCATGTGATAGCAAAGGCATAGACCTAGATGAAAGTGAACTTGATTCTGAGACTGAACTCATGAAAAGTATGGGACTGCCACTTCAGTTTGGTGGGATGTCTGCACATAAGAATTTTGAGGTAAGTAGTCACTTACTTTTATTTATTAGTTTTCTCTGTAAAATCACGTGGAATTTTTTTTTTATCCCAAATCTAATGCATTTATTAATTAGAGCACTCCGTCTCTTTTTTAATGTACATATCTATAAATTAACCCAAACTAAGTTGTGATGTGTCCCACATGTGATTTTCTTGTCTTGGGATCTTGTGTAAGATTCACTTGTTTGTGTAACTAAAAGCCCAGGGTGAAGGTAGTGGAGAGCGGGGCAGAGGAGCACAAAGATTGAGGCTATTTTGTTTAACTTAATGTCAAAATAGATTTGGGTTCTACTTTCTCTTAGTTTATGAAGTGGATTTTGTATTCAAGGTATTTATCTTACGCAGGTGTCTATGAATACTAGAAATAAAATTAAAATAAAAAAGAAAAAGAAAAAACATCAAAAGAAGTACTTAGATGAGATGATAAAAGAATCTTGGAGACAAGAATATGAAGAAGATGACATTTTGGCCTCAGATGATCCATCTTCAGTTGAACAGTATGAGAACACCAGAACACGTAAACTAAAACCCACAAAAGACACTGAAACTGAAAGCCTTTCTACTGAAAGTACATTATCTCCAAAGCTAGAAATTACAGAAAAATGGGAAAAGTACTGGAATGAATATGGTGGAGAACTACTATGGCAAAGCTGGCAAGAAAAACATTCAGATCAAACACTGTGTTCTGAACCTTGGAACGTTCCTGATACCAAGGAAGAATGGGAGCAACATTATAGTCAACTTTATTGGTATTATTTGGAACAATTTAGGTATTGGGAAGCTCAGGGTTGGACTTTTGATGCCTCACAAAGTTGTGGTGCAAGTATGTGTGGGCCTAAAACAGAAGTTGACAACGAGAAAGATGAAAATTGCATGAAAGCAGACTTACTTTCTTTAACATCTTCATCAATAGGTTGTAAAAGCTCTAATTCAAGTGAAAAAGATCATAACGAGCTACTTGATGGAATTAGTAAGATAAGTCTGAATTCAGGGAAACCAGAAGAGACCCAGTTAGAGTCATCTGTAAGTTCTGACGGACATCAGTGGCTAAATGAAGTTAACAGCAGAAGAGAATGCCCTTCTGGCCAAAGTGAGTCATGTAATGGAGGAGCCAAGGAAAGCAACTTGTCAGGGAACAGCGCAAATCAACCAGCTCAGGGTAAGGCTGACCAAGATTTACTAGTATCCTTCCTACTAAGTAACAGTTAACTAAATGAACCTATTAAGAAAAAGAATACTAATCCTTTATGGTAGAGTTAAGTAGTGCAAACTACATTTTATAGTGTACAGAAATTATTCAGTCCATCTTATATTTATATCACAAGTTGTTTATTACCCTTTTATATAAATAAAAAAGAATATTTTCACAAAGTACTCAAAAGTACCATTCCTTTCTCTTATACCTAGGTGGCCGGTGAATTAAAACTTGGAAACCCCTTTCTAATTAAATTAGAACTCTAATTTAGAGTGAGCTTGGAATGTCCAAGTTTCTCTAGAACAGCGGTTCTCAACCTGTGGGCCGGCGACCCCTTTAGGGGTCGAACAACCCTTTCACAGGGGTCGCCTAAGACCATCGGAAAGCACATATATAATTACATATTGTTTTTGTGATTAATCACTATGCTTTAATTATGTTCAATTTGTAACAATGAAATTGGGGGTCACCACAACATGAGGAACTGTATTAAAGGGTCGCGGCATTAGAAAGGTTGAGAACCACTGCTCTAGAAAAAATGAGTTTATAAGAGGCATGTTTAAAGAGTGGTGGAGAGCACGTGTTTGACAGTAGGCCAATCTGAATGAGAGTCATATCTGGAATTCATTTGGGACAATGAAGTCTTGCTATAAAGAGAATTTAAACAGGGCAAGATGTTCATTTATACCTAGAAGGGTTGATTTCAGGACTTCCATAAAATACTCAGGATAAGAAACTTGGTTGACTCCTGCCCAAGTGATTATAAAAAAAAAAAAAAAATTCATCATCATGCAGCCTGGTGCTACTGTAAGGACTAAAGAAAGCCAGTAAAAGGAGTGTGTTAAAAAAAAAAGTTAGAATAAGTTGGATTAGAGTGCTCTTGCTAGGGAGAAGGGTACTACCAATTGATAGCACCAGGAAAATGGAAATTTTTATAACTTTTGGGTTATCTTGGCATCCTCGATGTTTGGTACTAAGAAAGTATGGTTCATAGGGATTTCCTTCTCATACTTATTCCTCTATGACCTGCTTTGTTCATCCCAGTCACTGATCTTCATCTAGTTGAGAGTTACTAAAGAACCCTATCTATTTTTTTACTTCTTTTCTCTGTACTCTTGAAATGGAGCTTAACTTTAGTGCAATATTCTCATTCCTTTCAATTTTGCTGTTGTTATCCTTTTTATGTGATTATCTTATATTAATCTTTGATATTCTTCAAACCTCACAGATTCTGCCTTCTCTTGCCTGTTTCCTAAACTATGTGTATAAATTGACCATTCTATTGCCTGTTCCCTATGTATATAATTGCCCATGTCTGTAATTAGCTCCAGTGTGACTTGCCATCAGGATCAAATTAAGAATTCTAGATTTTGATTTGTTTTAGATACTCGCTTGAAATCAAAACATAAGGTAAACAGGGTGAGGCAAAAGTAGGTTTACAGTCGTTCATATGGCAAATAATACAATAATCCTATCTAATAAAAGAGAAACATGGTAATTGGCGTACGACCGCTACCCTTCCCATTGGCTAATCAGGGCAATATGCAAATTAACTGTCAGCCAAGATGGCGGCCGGCAGCCAGGCAGCTTGAAACTAACATGAGGCTTGCTTGCTTCAGTGACAGAGGACTCCAACGTTCCCCGCCTGCCTTGCCAGCCTCTGAGCCTGCAGTTTGAAACATTTTAACAAACTGGGATCTCAGAGCTGGAGTCAGAGCTGGAGTTATACATTGTTTCAATTACCTACTTTCAGTAGCAGAGGCCTAAGAGCTGGAGCCTCAGAGCTAAAGCTGGCCCAGAATTTAAAAAAAAAAGAAAAAAAGGAGAGGTTGGGAGCTTCAGTCACCTGCGAGCCTGAAAACAGCCCTCAGCCCCTCACCCAGACTGGCCAGGCACCCCAGTGGGGACCCCCACCCTGAAGGGTGTGTGACCAGCTGCAAACAGCCATCATCCCCTCATCCAGGCTGGCCAGGCACCCCAGTGGGGACCCCCACCCTGGTCCAGGACACCCTTCAGGGCAAACCAGCCAGTCCCACCCATGCATCAGGCCTCTATCCTATATAGTAAAAGGGTAATATGCCTCCCAGCACCATTATCAGCGGAGCCGCGAGGCCTCCCGGGACCGGGATCAGCGTGACAGGGGGCAGCGCCCAAACCCCCTGATCGCCCTGCAGCTCTGTGTGACAGGGGGCGGGGCCACAATCCCTCTATCTGCCCTGCTCTATTCCTGACAGGGGAAGGCGCCCCAACCTTCTGATCAGCCCTGCTCTGTGCGTGACAGGGGGGAGCTCCCGAACCCCCTGATCGCCCTGCGGCTCTGAGTGTGACAGGGTGCACGCCTCAACCCCTCCCCCCCCACCCCCCCCCACCCCCCGCCACGGGCCCTGCTCTGTGTGTGACGGGGTAGAGCCATAACCTCCCCATCGGCCCTGCCCTGATTGTGACAGTGGCGGCGCCCCAACCCCCTGATCGGCCCTGCTCTGTGGGTGATAGAGGGCAGCGCCCCAACCCCCTCCACCCCCCACGGGCCCTGCTCTGTGTGTGATGGGGTAGAGCCATAACCTCCCCATCGGCCCTGCCCTGAGTGTGACAGTGGCGGCGCCCCAACCCCCTGATCGGCCCTGCTCTGTGGGTGATAGAGGGCGGCGCCACAACCCCCTGATCCGCCCTGCTCTGTGTGTGACAGGGGCGGTGCCCCAACTCCCCTATCAGCCCTACTCTGTGAGTGACAGGGGGAAGCTCCTCAACCCCCTGATCAACCCTGCTCTGTGCATGACAGGGGGGAGCTCCCTAACCCCCTGATCGACCCTGCTCTGTGTGTGGCAGGGTAAGGAGCCCCAACCCCCCTGATGGGCCCTGCTCTGTGCGTGACAGGGGGCAGCGCCCCAACCCCCTGATTGGCCCTGCTCTGTGCGTGACGGGGTGGCGCCTCAACCTCCCCATCAACCCTGCCTTGAGTGTGACAGGGGGCGGTGTCCCAAACCCCCAATCGGCCCTACCCTGAGCATGACTGAGGGTGGCATTGCAACCTCCCAATCTGCCCTGCTCTGTGCATGACAGGGGGTGGCGCCCCAATTCCCCAATAGGTCCTGCTCTGAGCCCGACCAGGGGCTGCACCTAGGGATTGGGCCTGCCCTCTGCACCCGGGAGCAGGCCTAAGCCAGCAGGTCGTTATCTCCCAAGGGGTCCCAGACTGCGAGAGGGCACAGGCCAGGCTTAGGGACCCCCTTCCCCCCCAAGTGCACAAATTTTTGTGCACCGGGCCTCTAGTTAATAAATAAAAATAAAAGGATAAACTATGTTTTGTGTACTCACAATTGTAAACCTACTTTTGCCTTACCCTGCATATTGCATTTTTTTATAAGTATGTTTTCTACTGTTTGTGGGTGGGTGTTCTCCTGAAATAGTCTGTCCCCACATATTCAAAGCTTCCCACTGTCTACATTGCAGACATCTCTCCACTTCTATTCTCACCCACCTACTTTGTTCCACTCTGAAGAAATAGAGAACAAGGACAGACATGTACCACAACAAGTTATACTCTTTTTAAGTGGTGGTGTTTATCTTTGTTACTTTAAAGAGCTATGTTAGAGACAATTAAATGTATTTACTTCTTAAGAAAGAGAACTTTTTAATCAATGTGATCATGACATCTTTAGAGTCATTTTAGATTAAAATTTCATCAAAATGTGATAGCTAATAGCTATGACAAAGGTAACATTGTGGAATAATTTGTGTAGAGTTAGATAGCTATCAGGAAAAAGTTCTTTTTGTTCACTTTTTAAGTAGCTAAATCATGGAAACTTTTAAACATTAATAGACATAGCTCCCATTTTTTTTATGTTCAGACCCTGCATGTAGATAAACAGAATCGGTAGATGTGGTCTGAAACTTTGTCTTACGTACATGTACAGTTCATTGCAGGAAAGGCACTGAAATATTTTGATTGCCTTTGTAAATGGCAGGAGAGTTGTCAAACCAAGGGGAGACATCCACAGTAATAATCTGCCTCTTTAGATTCACAGAAGTCTTCAGAAGCAAACACAATCCAAGGAAAACCACCTCCCAACAAGACTGATGGAGATGAGAGTGAAGAAGATCCACCTGAATGTCAGCCAAGCAAACTCAAGAGGAGGCAAGTTGCACGTTACTTTCATTCTGGAATGTGTTAGCATAAGCCACTCTCTCCACTAGTGAGTGGTTACCGAGTGCTTGTGACATTTCAGCACTGCAAGGAGACAAGACCCTGGGCTTTGGAGCATGGTTAGATCCAACTCCGCCTCTTCAATTCTGCCACAATTTCTTATCTATAAAGTGGAACTGATGCCTCTTCTGTGAGGCCATTGGGAAGACTGGAACTAACATGTAATATACTAATATATTAGTAGCTATCAATGAATGGTAGCTATTAACTAGTAATATGTAAGTAGGTACAGTCTATCTTTCTAAGGCAGCTCTAATTTTTCCCCCCCAAAAGTCTGGGAATAATTACAGGATTTTGCTAAAATCCTCCTCAGATACATCAAATCTAGTGCTCTCATTCTATCGATAGGAATACTAAGACAAAACAAAGATAAATACTTTGCCCAGAGTTATGTAGTGGTAATGGCATCTCCAAAACTAGAGCCCAGACCATCTCCTTCGAAGACAGTACTGTTTCTAGTGTACCATTGATACATGTAATTAAAAAAAAGTAGGGAATGTCAGGTAAAATGTGGCCAAATGCTAATGGCTGTGAAATAACAGGAAAAGGATGGACATTACAGAATTTGGATGTTAGCTGGGCACATTTCATTTCTATGACGGGATATGAAGTGCTTCGCATAAGACTTGTGTGTTCCATATAGTTTCTATAAAAACAGTAAGCACGTTTTAGAGGCCCAGCAACTTAGTACATAAAAGCATACCTCTCTGTTCTTTCTACACGGTAGGCGTTGCATGTTAATTCCTCCATTAGTTCTTGCTAGGTCCTGACTGCAGACTGTGTCTTACATTCCTGGAACCTAATAGGTCCTTCATAAATGTTCAGTGAGCATAATTTCATTTGTAAGAAGAATCTCTCACTATTTCTGTTTACTCATTACTGTTGCCCAGGTAGTAGGGAGTATTAGAATTATCTCCCATAAATGGATGATCCTGAGTTACTTAATACCACTTGTATCACAACCTGATTCTTCTGAACAATATTTTTTTTTCTTTTGTAATTTTTTGGTTACAAACATTTTTCAAATGTTTCCTTGTTTGTTTTTCAGAAAAACCTCTGGAGAAAACACTCTAGGAGATTAGTTTAAGGCTGCAGCTTTTAACTGGTATTTTTTCAAAGGAAAATGGAGAGATACTGTGTTCAGGAATAGAGATAATTACTTGACAGGGTTTAAGGTTTGAGTGCTTATTACTGTGTTCCAAATACTGCTTGGTACTTTTCCTCATTTGGAAAATCCTGATGAAAATACTGTTTTTCCTGTTTTCCTGGGTTTGTGAATTATGGTCAATTGTTGTAAAGGGAAAGTTTGCGTAGGTTGACTATATGTACTTTTGATATTTGCCTGAATGGGTGGGATCCGGAGATAATGGCTTATCACCTTTTGTTTATTTGTTTAGCCATGAGCTGGACATCGATGAGAACCCAGATTCAGACTTTGATGACAATGGTGCCCTTCTAGGATTCAACCATGGCTCCGGACAAAAGTAATTATACGTAAATGCTGTTGTCCTTAAATCTTAACCACTTGGGCTAACTTAAAGCTCTCTGATATTCAGATAGCTAATAATAAGTATGTAGCTTATATCATTTGAGATATATCATTTGCAGTTAAAACACTAGTCTCTCTTGTTTGTAAGAATTATAGTTATCACCATACCTTTGATGTAGTCACATGTATTAACTCAGTTGTACTTCAAAGCAATCCAGTGTTGTTACTCCAATTTATACTAGTAAATAAAGCAACTGCAGCTTGCAGGTTTTGACTCAGTCACGATCACATCATTTCTTGGAGAGAATGGGTTCAAGTCCAGCTCTTGAGATTCTAAGCATGGCTCTCTTCCCCTTGTGTCTCACATAACTCTGTGTACATCTGAAGTGTGTAGCAAACATGCCATGAAAAGTTCCAATCTGGAGTAACCATTTTTCTTTTTTACTGTGAAAGTAGTAAAACTCAAACAAAACAAAAGTAACAAGTAAGAGTGAAAATCTTTTCTTCAAATCATTCCCCAGAGATAATATAATAGTTGGCATATATCCTTCCTAATTTTTTGTGTATGTTTTTATGACTATGTACATATACACACATTACTCCTTTTTATAAAACAAAAAATTATTCTATGCAGTCTACAGCTTGCTCTTTTCCCCTAAACAATGTACCATCAACGGCCTGCCTTATCAGTACATTTACCTAGTCCCTTCAGTAGGGCCTGGTGTTTAATTGATTTATAGTCAGGTTGCTTCCTAAGACCTACTTTATGCCTTTGAAGTACCCCCAGCTTGTTGCATGTACTAATAGTTCTTTCCTTCCTATTGCTAAGTAGTATGCCATTTATGGATGTACCATAGTTTGTTGAACCATTATCTATTGAAAGACATTTGGATTATGTGTGGTATTTTGTTATTACAAATAAAGCTGCTTTGAACTTTTGTGTACAGAAAGTATTAGTGTTCTCTGGGATTAAATGCCCAAGCATTAAATATACGGAAATTGAAGAGTTTATTGCCTATGACATGAAGACTGAACTGAGTAGTTAAAGCACACTAAAGACCTACCATTTTGCTATTTCTTTATTACATTATACTGTGTAGGTTCTGCTTTCTGCTCTATATTTGTTGATATTTCCAACTTTGGTGTTTCACATTTACTTGAGAATTAACATACAAAGCTAGACCTTAAACTGCATTTTAAACTTTATTTCATAATTAGGAAAATGAAATTACAGTAGTGGCTGCTAATAGAAAAATAGTGAAAGTTGTTAGTTTTATTTTCTTTTCATATAAAGAAACAAACTGATAGAACTTAAGATTTCAGTCAACTTCTTTTGATTTGGTCCCAGATATGGTGGAATTTCACATTTCAGTCATAGACGGGTCAGATATCTACAGAAGAATGTGAAGTATAAGTCAAAGTTCTTGGACATGAGAAGACAAATAAATTTGAAAAATAAACACATTTTCTTTACTGAAGACACAGAAAAAAAATGTTTTAAGAAAAGCAAAACTTTGAGTAAGGTATGTATAGATTTTGTTTTTTATTTATAGATAGAATTTCATTTTGTGAGCTTGGCTTCTTAAAGTTTTTGTTTTCAAATGTGAACCCTGTTTCTACCAGATATAAGGGCACCTGAGATTCTTTTCTACTTGCTATCTAAAGACATGTATTGTGTGAAATAAATTTGGAAAAGATTAAGTTGGGGGCAATATGAAAAGGGAATGTTTTGAAAGCTACAAAGTAGTAGAGAGAGTCTGGGAAGATAAATAGATAAAATTGCCTTGTGTATGTAGTAACAGACAATGGAAATTGCTCATCTGTTTAAGCTAAGTAGGATCCCAGAAGTCCAGTGTCTGATACAACTTTTATAGTAATCCTTCATTTTGAGGTCCCCTAAAGGTGATTGATTAAACTTGGCGCTAACAAGTTCATCCTAATGACGTGAGACTAAAGGCTATTTTGGTGATTCACATTGTTAACCAGAATAGTCATATCCCCTGTCTTGGACTTTGTTGTACTTGTTGTCCAACTACCTGGAAAACAAAAGTAATTAAAATTGCCTTTGCTTGGTTATGATGAGTGATTCTTACCCATTCTAGAAAAAGAAAAAAAAGAAACACTTTCTACTGAGCAGAACCTTGTATCAGCCACATCTCCAGCAGTTCTTTTAAGTCAACAGAAATCTCAGACCCCATATACTTGTTTTTCCTCTGTTGTATGATTACCCTTCCTAACTTCTGTATTCTTCTAAAACATACTACAATTTTATAGCTGTTTTTATTTTTAATGTATTTCAGATTGTTTGGCTGCTGGTGATATTTTAATATTTTAGTAGCCCTAGTTATGTCTGGATTTCCAGTATTGGTTCAATTGATCCTATAGTAATTTTTATAATGTATTAGATGTGATAGCCCCCATATATTCATCTGTACATGAAGAGCAGAAACATAGCTGCTAAGTATTGCTGGGGGGGAGGGGGAGGGCCAGAATGTGGCTGCTGTGTCCTTAGATATCTGATTGATGTATAGGCACAGTCCTCTCAAAGGAAGATTCTGGGTTGTTGTCTGCCCATCTTCTGTCTACCACTCTAGTTCTAATTTCCTAACTTTTAGGAAAGTCATGAAGATCTGTTATGAAGAATGTTTTTGTTATAGAAGATAGCAAGAAAGTATATAGCCTTGTTAACATTTCATAGAAGAAACTTAATTTATAGGAATCATTTTACTGACTCTACTGCTTCAGTAAAAGGCAGTTCACATCCTTTGCAAGATAGCACTGCCTTTATTCTTAGAGACACAAAATCTTTTTAGAGTTCATCTTTGCGCTGAGTACCATTTAACATAGATAATAGCCTGGGTCTTGCAGAAAAACTAAAATTAGTGACTCAACAATAGGCGGGTACATTTGTAATGGTAACATCACATAGTACAGTTAGGTTGCTCGAAGCCTTTATGGAAAGCTATTGTAAAAGTTCAACTTTATCCTCTTAATCTTAATTGATTATAGAAAGATCATAGTCTTGTGTGTGATCTGATATTTTCTTCCTTTTAAAGAAGTCTTTAATAACGTCATGGTATGTCCAGACAAGAAAGTGCAATTAGCTTGGAATTACTTGATCATATTAGCTTTGTGATACAGTATACTTGTCAGAGCTAAGAATTGTGATGCAGCTTGTCAATCAGGTCACAAATGGTAAAGCAGGTAGAAATATTCTGTGTAATTGGAATTGGTTCATGCCCGTAACATCTTAAAATTTCAGGTAGAAAAGTTTCTAAAATGGGTTAACGAACCAATGGATGAGGAAGCATCACAGGAGTCAGTTTCTCATGACGATGTGCAAGACGCTTGCACAAGCAGTGATTCAGAAGAGCAGGGAGTGTCTGTTACCAAAGAGGAGGAGCCACTGGAGATGAGCAATCCAGAGCCTGCCGAGGGTCATGCCATACCTTCAGCTGGTGAACCTGAGACAGAAAAGAATGAAGGGGACAGCACCGGAGCAGCTGTCACAGATAAGGAGGATTGTGTTGCTCAGGATATACCAGATTCTCTTCAGGTGGAAACTGAAGGTAAGAGTAACTGTGCTTCAACCCGCTGGTGGATTTAGATAAATACATTTTATAAATGTTTTTCCCTAGTTTTCACTTATGAGTCATCTATACATAAGGATTCTCTGCTATTTACTTGTAAGTTGAGGGAAGGCATGTTAAGTAAAGGTGCTAATGGCTATGGTTTGGCACCCGAGTGCATTTCCCTCTTGACTGAACAGGCATGGTAAAAACAAAGGTAAAGCGTGTGGCAAAACTGTGTTTGAATACCCCTGTCTATACCGTTCAGATTGGTTTCTGCCACAACCCTCTGTCCCATGCCCTACAGGTGGCCAGATCGTTTTTATTTTGTTATTTTTGTGGCGGTTGTGCAGAGTGGTCATTTGTTTTTGGATGTTGCATTCACATAAAGCGTTTACAGTAGTTCGCTATAATGAGTGGAGAACAGAGTAGCATTTTTACTTTATACTCTCTTGTACTATTTGAATTTATTTTAAGCAAATGTTCTTTTATAATTTAAAAGATAATTGTATTCGGTGGAACATTGGGGCTTTATCAGGTAAAAATTTTTATTTGAAACTAGAAGCCTGATGCATGACATTCGTGCAAGGGGCTTGGCCCTTGCATCCCCGGCTTCATCCGAAAGGTAGTCTAGAAGGGCATCCAGAAGGTCATTCGGCTGTCCAGTCCAATTAGCATATTATGCTTTTATTATTATAGATAATACTCAGTTTATAGATGAGTTATTTCAGACTTGCCTAATGAAACAGTTACATTTATTGTGATGATTTCTTTCTTAGGAATGAAGCTAGTGACCCCTGTTTTCATTTTCCTTAATTTTGTATTAAGGAAAATAGCTTATTTGAATCTTGCTTTGTGTGTGTGTGTGTGTGTGTGTGTGTTGGGGGGTGGCGGGGGGGAACGATAATGGATCTATGATAACTTTGTCACATACTTCCTTGACTTTCTAAACAGCATATACTTAAGGTAGTTAAATTTTTTTATTTAGCAACTTTTTCATTGTACAATTTTTTTAATGTACAACTGGTGTTCATGTAGCACATGGAGATTTCTGAAATGCTTTCACGTGCCTTATTCTCATTTAATCTGTAAAGTACCCAATGAAGTAGGTGGAATTAGCTCCATTCTATAAATGTGGAAAGTAAAAATAAAGTCCAGAGAAATTAAGAAATTTGAGGTCACAGAGCCATAAGTGGCATAACAAGGACTCAGTACCAAGTTGTCTGATTCCTAAATCCCATTTTCCCACGCTACCCTAATTCTCTATCGCCACTCGTCACAATGTTGGTAGTTTTCACCTGGGATGATACCACCATCTCTGGGGCATTTGGAAGATGGTGGTTGTCAAATGACCTGGGGAGTTTTGGCATTTAGTACTTTGGATTATTTAATGTTGCACAATAAGGTTTGTTCACTCAAAATGTCAGTGTTCCCTCTCTTGAGAAACTTGCTGCACTTTGCAATTGATGAGACCATTAGCTACTTGCAATGGTCAGATGACTATAGTAAGACATAGTCCTATCTTTGAGGACCATTTAAATATGATAGAGCTTTATTTGTCAACATCACTTTTTGTCATATTTAGCTATGAAAACACTTCTAATTTCAGAACTGAAACCAAATAAGCAAACTAAAAAATTGTTTAAGAAGAAGTCAGTCTCTGAACGAGGTACTTTCTACTAAATGGAGCTAGTGACCCCTGTTTCAATTTCTCAGAGGCGCTGTGACTTCTAGGTCATGGCTGGGTTCAAAGGATGGATCTAGCTGAGAGTTGGAGTTAATCAGTCCTTGGGAAATTTTATTTTAAAAAAGGGAAAGGAAATGTTTGGATTCCTATAATTTACCAGGGAAGCAGAGTCTTACCCAACAGAAGTAATAGCTTATATACCTGTAATAGTATAATTATCTCCTAACAATTCTGTAAAGCAAATAGGTATAATACTACTCAGTCATTTATTCCTTTTGAGAAATGAAAAGCTGGCGCTTTGAGAGCCTGCATTAGTTATCCAAGCTTGGGGAGCCAGTAAGTAGCAAACTAGAGGCTACAGTCTGACATCAGTGCTCTTGCCATGGTACCCTCCTGCTTCTCCAAGTGTGTGATTGCACACGTGTTCTGGAGCTCAGTCCCAAATTATTTGACATGGCTGCACTTTTAGATAAATTCACCTGTGTTTCCTTTTTTCATAGTACGCATCTCTATTCTTTATATTCCTTTATTGTAGCTGAAATTAAAAAGAAGAAGAAGAAGAAAAACAAGAATAGGAAGGTAATCAGTCTGCCTCCTGAAATAGCTGCTGTTCCTGAGCTGGCAAAATACTGGGCCCAGAGGTACCGGCTCTTCTCCCGTTTTGATGATGGAATTAAATTGGACAAAGGTAAAGTATATATAATTTTGAACTTTAATTTGAAATAATTTTGAATTTATGGAAAACTTGCAGGAGTAGCAGCATATTTCTATCCCTTTTCCCCAGACTCAGATGTTTCTTAACATTTTGCCACATTTGCATTATCATTTCTTATGTGTGTGTGTGTTTCTGTTCTGGTTGCCCCTATTCCTTAATCCTTGAATGTGTATTTTCTAAGAAAAAAGGATATTTTTATGTAACGGGTAAAATTATAAATTTAACATTGTTACAGTATTGTAATCTACAGTCCATAGTCCAGTTTTAGCCATTATTCTAACTAATGTCCTTTATAGCATTTTTTTTCCTTCCAACATAGAATCGTGTATAGCAGTTAGTTTCATGTTTCTTTGGTTGTCTTTAATCTGGAATAGTTGCTCAGCCTCTTTTTATCTTTCAGGAACTTGATGTTTTCCAAAGAATAACAGCCAGTTAATGTCCACAGTGTCTCTTAATTTGGGTATATGTGTGATTTTAAAACTTTGGACTCAGGTTTAATCTATATTTAGGAATTGATAGATTATTAAACAGAACATCTGATGAAGAAATACCTAGTGCAGAAACATGTAATGAATTAACACTGGAAACTTTGAATTCTTTTTCAAGTTTTCCTGCCCTTACTTTGAACAGCTTAACTCAATTCTGAAAATTGATGTTTATTTTCATATTGGAACTACTTAAATTAGGTGTTAACTGTCAAAATCAGGAAATCTGGATCACTGGTGGAATTTCAGGGGTCTGTGAACCTCTTGTAATTATTTACAAAAAAATTACATATTTAAAAGAATGCAGAGGAGTTTGTTAGGAGAAATATGACTAGATAAAAGCTTTTAATTCTGTAAAAGTAGTTAATATTTTTATTATTCCAGCAATGAGGAGCCATTTAAAGTTTTGGTAAAGGAAAGAAACAGGAAAATTGGTGCATCATTTTGTTCAGAGAAATATCTTCCTTAAAAATGTGAATTTCTCCTATTGGGAAAGAAAGAGGGCATTATCCTCTTCCCTCTGGAATGGTCACAGGACATGGGACCTTATTTCTGAAAATAATGAGGGTTCTGCTATTCCTACAGCTTTGTGGCCTTTTGCTGTCAGCTCCTTGCTTTTCCTGGCCCTTTAGAAATGTTTGAATTTTTCCAAAGTGTCCAGTACAAGTCTGGTTCATTGGTTCCCCATTAGGGAATGAAGTCATAGGGAAACTCTGTGGAATTTGGGTAGTTGGCCAATTAGAATGGCTAACTTTACATTTTCCATAGCAGATAGTCAGTAGTTAATACTTCAGACATAAAAATAGGAACTGCATTCAGTTATTGGTGATATATTGCAAAAGAATCAGGCCAGAACTAAAACAGTTGCTTTCTTTGGGAATGGGAATGCTACTGTTCCTTTTTATAACAAGCTTTGTAGAACTTTTCTTTAAAACTAGGTTATTTATAGTGTTTTGAAAAGAGAAACAAAGGTGGGATTTTAAAGTATATATTATATAGTAATGATTGTTATGTTTATGCTTGGCTTGGCTGCTTGAAATTGAACCTCTTAGCAGAAATACTCTTTCTTCGCAGAGGGCTGGTTCTCAGTTACACCTGAGAAGATTGCTGAACACATTGCTGGCCGGGTCAGTCAGTCCTTCGAGTGCGACATTGTAGTGGATGCATTTTGTGGAGTCGGAGGAAATACCATTCAGTTTGCCTTAACTGGAAAGAGAGGTAATTAGCCATCAATGGAAGAAAAATAAATTATATTCAGCTTATTCAGTAAATGTTTCATTTTCCTTCCTTTCGTCTTTGCTGACATTTAATATATAAATAATTTAATGCCAAATATTTAAAATAATAATAGCTAGCATATATTAAGCATACACTTTGTATCATACAGATGTAAGTGCTTAGAGTGTATTTATTTAGTCAACAATCTTGTGAAGTGTATCTTTTACTATCTGCCTTTCACAGATAAACAGAAATAAAGAGATGAAGTTTGGTAGAGCCAAGATTATAACAATATATAAAAATATTAAAATGGAGAGACTATTCTGTAAAAGAAAAGAAAAGTAGACAGGGAATCCCAGCTTTGTCATTCACTACTGTTATGGACATCACTTAACCTTAATTTAAAGGCGACATGAACTTGAGATATCCTCTGTGATAACCTTTCAGCTTTAACATTCTGTGACACTAAGCATCTTTTAAATATTAGATCATCCTCAGGGTAGCTTGACTTTGAAATCACAAAAAAGAAACCCTCCACTACTATATGTCTGCCAGGAATTGTGTCGAGTAGGTAATACGTGTGCAGTTTCTCAAAGAAGAGGGGCTTCAGGAAGTTGAACAGTCTGTCCACATTGACATAGCTGAGTCGTGAAGCCAGGACTTTAAAGTGCAGAATAATGTGACATTTTAGGGGCATAAGTCATACTCTGAATATGCTTTTCCGCTACCCCAATGTCTTTATATTCCACGGATAGCTTCCATTTTAGTAAATTTCAGTTGAGTCTCATTAACTTACATAAAGTTTTTAATGTTAACTAGGAAAGCATATGATTCTGAAAAGGATAATATAAAAGCTTGGAAATGATGACGTGAAACTCAGCATTGATTTTTAAGACGAGTGCTGATGAACTGTGGCCCTTATGCAATCACTGCTGTGCTCCAGAGCATGACATTTGCTGACTTTACATGGTCTCCTCAGAGAAAGCTGTTTTCATATTTACTAGAATAGTTATTATTTTCTTGTTTTCCCTGAATTCACTATTTACCCTTATTACCCCTATCTTCACTCAGGTAGTTGCTATCTATGCATATACCCAACTGAATGCTTCATTTCCTAGTTAATGTACAAACACAACAGGAAAGCACAATACCACCTACTTCCAGTAACGAGTAAAGACAAATAACTGTTCATGGAGTCTACATTCTAAACTTAGAGAATTCTCAAAGCTTTGTATTTTGCTGTTTTTTAAAGAGTTCTTTTTCCTTTTCCAGTAGTTCCATATTAGTGCTGCCCAAAAGAATTTTCTGTGACGATGGAAATGTTCTATGTCTGCACTGTCCATTGTGGTGGCCACCAGCCACAAGTAGCTACTGAGCATTTGAAACATGGCATTGTGACTGAGGATCTAAATTCTTTATATTATTTAATTTTAATAATTTAAAGGTAATAGCCACATGTGGCTGGTGGCTACCTTTATTCAACAGTGCAGTTCTATTTAGTATCATTCAACATTTGTCAGCATTTCAGTTATGTGAGCAAAGTGAATGCTTGCATTCTGTTAGGCCTGAAAATAAAGTCTGCCTTCAAAGGAAGTCATAAAAACATGAGTATTAATTGAATATATTTGATGTTGAAAGTCATTTTTTCTGTTGAATTTTTGGTGTTGTCATCATATCTTTCCATCTGCCTCTACTATCAGTGTAGCAGATTGAGCAGCTGAAAAGGACGTTTTTATCTTTTTCCTTATAAATATGAATGTTAGTTTATATAGAACAGGAAAAAATAGCATATAAATGCATGATTTTGCAAGATATGATTTGTGCTTGTATTCATTGTTCAAGTGCATGATTTCTCAAAAGTATTAACCAATTTTGAAACCACCATGTTCTGGAAAATAGCTTTGTTTCCTTCACGACCATGGTGTACGCATCAGGGTTCCACTTAGCCCTTCCAGGTACAAAATAGTGCCACTGGTGCACGCACATCTGCACTTCCTGCAAGATGTAAGTGAGCTAAATTTAACTTAGGCTTGCATTGCTAATTATGAAATTGCAGTAAATTAAGTGAAATCCGATTTGATGAAAACATAAGGTTGTCTGTTCCTTAAAATGTCCCATTAAACATCATCAGCAGACTTTTTTACCTTTCTTAAGTTGACAAAAGAGGTTTGTCAACATTTGTTTTATTTTGCTTTTCTGTAGAAGCTATCAAATTCAGTGGTTGCCTCATTTTGAGGAAATTGGTCTTTTATGAAATCTTAACATTTATAGGCTTTATATACTGTTGGGGACCTTTCCAAGTGTTTGCTACTCAGCATGTACCTCGCACAGAACACAATGCTGACCACCTATTTGGCTCTCAGTAGATACTTAGTGGCAACTATCTAGTATATAAGGCCAAATCTCGATTAGTCTGTAAAAAAATATTCTTGTACATTAAATAAATACACTGATCTGAAGATGAAGTATTCTACTAATGCTAACTACTAATCAATATCATTTGACTCATCTTTCCTGATCCCGTTTTTAGTGATTGCCATTGATATTGATCCTGTTAAGATTGATCTTGCTCGCAATAATACAGAAGTGTATGGGATAGCAGACAAAGTCGAGTTCATCTGCGGAGATTTCCTGCTGCTGGCTCCTCAGTTAAAGGCCGACGTTGTGTTCCTCAGCCCCCCTTGGGGAGGGCCAGACTACGCGACTGCAGAGACCTTTGACATTAGGACAATGATGTCTCCTGATGGATATCCTTTCAAAGTCCTAAGAGTTTACTCAAACAGTGGTTGTGGAGGGGAAGGGGTGTGTGTGTGTGTGTGTGTGTGTGTGTGTGTGTGTGTGTGTGTGTGCTTGAGAGAGAAATTCGTGAAGAGGAAAGAAGCTAATAGCATTTGATAGTTCCTAGCTTGTTTTACATAAAAAGCAGGTATGTAAAAGTTAACTGGTGATGAATCTCCAAAAGTTACAGCAAATGTGAAGTATATTCCCTCGGTTACCCTCCACTTTTACTATTACAAAACAAGAACTAGAGAGCATTGACTGTTTGGAATTATTTTCCTGGAAATTGAGAATTTCCTGGAGACCTGTCCCTAATGTCTGGGTGACTATCCCTTAGCTATTCTTCCACTCACACTTTTGCTAATTCTCTGTGTGTCTTCACCTTTTCCTGTTACTCTTCCAAGGTACTGAAGCAGGCTCTTATTTCGTACTTAATAGCGTTGATATTATTTGTCCCTTTATCTCTGTTCCCCAGAGGAATCATCCCTTTGACTCTAACAGGACACATGCTCCTAAATTGCTAATTAAAGTTTAGAATGTAGACGACATGAACAGTTATTTGTCTTTACTCATTACTGGAAGGAGGTGGTATGGTGCTTTCCTGTTCTGTTTGTACATTAACAAGGAAAGGACAGGAAGAGAAAGAATGTTGTGTATTTTCTGACTTCGTTGCCTACCACTAGGATAAATGAAAAGTAGGTTTAACTTCTGCCCTGGCTGGGGGTGGCTCAGTTGGTTGGAATGTTGTCCCCTACACCAAAAAAATAATAATAATAATAAAGGTTGCAGGTCCAATTCCTGGTAAGGGCATATTTCAAGGATGAAGTTTTGATCTCCCATCATAGTGTGTACAGGAGGCAATCCATGTTTCTCTTCCCCCACCCCTTTCTCTCTTAAAAAAAAAAAATCAGTAGTATCCTTGGGTGAGGGTTAAAAAATAGGCCCTGGCCCATGTGGCTCGGTTGGAGTGTCATCCCGGACACTGGAAGCTGGTGGGTTCAATTCCTGGTCAGTGTACTTACCCAGGTTGTGGGTTCAATCCCTGGTCAGAACGCATGCAGGAAGCAACTGATCGCTGTTATCTATGTTTTTCTTTCTCTCTCTAAAATCAATTTTAAAAAACTGGTTTAACTTCTGACCAATCAGGAACAGTGTGCTGCTGAGTTACAAAATCGGCTACTTAATTCTCTTAGGCTTCATTAGAGGATTAAATGTGTGCCTACATATTAAAATACATTTGGGTTATAAGTGGAGAACTTAATCTCTGATCAGAAATTAACTGCTGTTTTTGTCACTTTTCCTTAACTGTTGTCCACCTTTGAAATTTTCAGACTTTCTCAGAAGATCACTAATAACATTGTTTATTTTCTTCCAAGAAATGCTGATATTGACCAGGTAAGCCATTACTGAGAAACTTCCATGAGCCTTTGGCATAACTGTTACAAAAGAATGGGTAAAAAAAGATCCAGGGAATTGCTTTAATTGAGAATGTTTTTATAAGAAGTCCCTGACTTTTTTCCTATTACTAGAAAACTGGGAGTGTTTGCCAATTAAATCCATACCTATTTCATTCTCTCCTTCTCCATCATTCCTGGCATACATGCACAGAAACAGCATGCTGGGCTTTTAATGATATGTCCTGAAAGAATGACTAAATGTGTTGTGTTCATATGCGCACACCTAAGTTAGCCACAATCTGTCTCTATTGAACCCTACCTTGAGAATAGAAGTTTCAGGTGTTCCTAAAAATAGTCACCTAAATAGAAATATAGACAGATACAACCTTTATTTGGCCAGGATCCATTTCAACTATTGTTTTGGAGGATAGGACACTTGACTAACATTAAAATGTCTTTATTCAGTTCTTACCATAAGTAAGCATTTTTTTTTAATCGCGTGTTTTTTTTCCCTAGTAGAATTGGATCTAGTATAACTGTCCTCATAAAGATCTGATGATATCTTTATTTCATGCTTTTGTTGAATTTTTAATACACTTACTACATACTGCCTTGTGCTATACATCTGTTAAATCTTTTGTCTCTTATATTTTAAATTTTATTACAATGTTGCTAGGTGTGGGTTTGTCCTTTCTCTCCTGTTTGATACTCTGAGAACTGACCCTATCAATCTGAGCTTTTTCCTCTTATTCTAGAAAAATTATCTCTTTAGTTGTTCAACTATATTCTCCTTACCATCGTATTTCCTTTTTCTGGGACAACAGCTACATTTTCTAGTGTTCTGTCTCCTTTTTCTTTCTGAGAGATTACCTCATTCTGGTCTTCCAGCTAGCTAATTCATTCTTCAGATATATACAGTCTAGCATCCATCGAATCATATCCTTTATACGTAATTATTTCTGCATCTTTGCTTTCACTTGCATTCTAATATTATTTAAAAGTTTAAATTCTTAATCTATTTTTATCCTTTCTGCATACACCTTGATAGAATTTATAATCCAGTTTGTTTTCATTCCATGAAATACTTGTGACCCTCAGATATCTTCTGGGTATTGGCAATTCTCGAGTAATGCAAAAGGATAAAGGACAGGCCAGAATCCAGTGAGGGTCATACTTGCTGCACTTTAGAATCACCAGGGACACTTGTAAAAATAACCTGACTATGCAATCTCCACCCCAGAAATTGATCTAATCATTTTTAAAGCTCCCTTCATCCATTGTAATATATAGCCTGTGTCAGCCCAGTGATAACTTCAAGGGATGCAGGTGGGAAAGCTCTGGGGTCGCTGACCCAAGCACCACTGACTGCACTCACTTACCACAAAACACTCTCAAGGCATAGCTTCCCACAGACACCCTTTCGGAGCAGCTGGACAAAAGCAGCATTTAAAGATGGTACTCTTTAATCTGAGAGTGTAATTCATCAGCTCTAGGGATTCAGAGAAAGAGGCATGAGAAGGCAGCTGCCAGGGTTAGTTCCCACCTGTTTCAGCTTCTCACAACAGAACATCTGTTTAGACTGCCCTAACTTTACTACTGAACATGGACCAGAGTTCACAGTCTCTGCAAGTGAGGCAGCATACACTGTTTAGACAAGGCAAAGGTAATGGCTAGGGAGGAGCCAGAGCAGAAGGCCAAGTTTCTTGTTTGCCTTCTTCCTGTTTTATCTTCCCACAGGCACGACCCTCAGTCCTCTGGATACACATATTCACGCCATCCCAGGTCTCCATAACTATTTTTTGTTTGGTGGTTTCCCCCTATTGTCTCCAGAGACACCTTATAAGTCAACAGTCATGCTAGTTCAGCATCTAACTAGATTAAAGATAGGTGCATGAATATAATAATAAATAATGCAGCCTTCTTATAAGAAAGGTAGAGCTTAAAGAGTCTGGCTTTCTGGTGGATGGTGTCAGGAAAGGCCCTGGATGACACAGCATGTAAACTGGACTTTAAAGTTAAAGATCAGATTGTAGGAGTTGAGGAGAAGGTGGCAAGACTGTCAATGACATGGAAGTGGGAATGTGTGGGTGATGTTTAGGTCATGGGCTAAAAAAAGAGAGTAAGAGTCAAGCAGACCAGAGTTTAGTCTCAGCCTTGTACTCACTGGCTTTCCGGTGATAGTTTTGAGGAATAAATGCAATCAGTGAGTAAAGCATTTAACAAGTACCTCTGACTCATAAATCCTCAGTAAAGTCTTGTGTCTGTTACTTAGAAGATCCCATTATAAAATTGTGGAAAGAATGTAAATGTTACTAAGGTTTTGAATGGGACCAACATGAAAAATGATATGTTTTCTCTAAAGGAAAGAATAGATAGCTTTAATATTTCTGAAATGATAGAATTTAATTTATAAGCATACATCTCAGAATATAGATTTTTCTCTTCCTCTTATCAGAAATCAGATATACTTGCTTATACTGCACATATTTTCATGTTAATTTGCTATATTTTCCCATCTTTGGTTTATCTGCTTAGTCTTTGGAACACCGATTCTCAGCTCTGTCTGCAAATTAGAATTACCTGCTCTGTCTGCAAATTAGAATTACCTAAGTGGGGTTTTTTTAGTAGTAAGGATAAATTTTACCATAAGTCATTTACAATTCAGTGTCATTAAATACATTCACATTATGCAACCATTACCATCATCTCGGAACTTTACCTCATCTTCCCAAACTGAAACTATGTCCTTTAAACACTAAATCCTCAGTAGCCCCCACCAACCTACCCCTAACAAACACCATTCTAATTTCTGTTTCTATAAAATTTTGACTACTCTAGGTAACTTGTATAAGTGGAATCATAAATATTTGTCCTTTTGTGTCTAGCTTATTTCATTTAGCATAATTGCCTCAAGGTTCGTTCTTATTACAGCCTGTACTAGAATTTCCTTCCTTTTCAAGACTGAGTAATATTCCGTTGTTTGTAGATACTGCAGTTTGTCTATTCATTCATCAATGGGCATTTTGGGTTGTTTCCACCTTTTTACTGTTGCTAATAACGCTGCTGTGAACATGGGTATACAAATACCTAGTCTAGTCTCTGCTTTCATTTCTTTTGGGCATATACTTAGGAGAGGAATTGCTAGATTGTAAGGTAATTCTGTGTTAAGTTTTTTGAGGAATCACCATACTGTTCTTCATAGCAACTGAACCACTGCACCAGCGATTCAAAAAGGACCCAACTTCTCCATATTCTTGCTAATACTTGTTATTTTCTGGTGGTGATTGTCTGCTAATGGCCATCCTAATGCACATGAAATGTTATCTTGTTGTGGTTTTGACTTGCATTTCCCTAGTGACTAATGATGTTGACCATCTTTTCATGTGCATGTATTCTGGATATTAATCCCTTATATACGTGCTTTGCCAGTATTTTTTCCTATTCCATGGGTTGTCTTTTTATTCTCTTAATAGTGTTCTTTGTCTCACAAAACTTTTTGATTTTGAGGAAGTTCTATTTTATCTGTGTATTGCCTGTGCTTTTGATGTCATATCCAAGAAATCCTTGTCAAATTCATTGTTGTTTTCTTCTAAGAGTTTTACAGTTTTAGCTAAGTAGCTTTTTAAAACTACTGATAACCTGATCCACTGGGAAAGATTCTCTCTAATTTATTTTCTGGGATGAAGCCCAAGCATACATTCTTTAAAACTCCCCAAGTGATTGTAATGTGCTCCCAGAGTTGAGATTCTCTGGGTTAAGAGAAGAGTAAATAAAAGTTAACAAGCCAGAACTCTTACTCTGTGGATTAGAAGGTGAAATTAGATCTTGCAGCCTGTCATCTGTTTATGAGCCAGTGTGGGTAAACATTAGGCCTCTCAAATACTATATGCTGCACCAGTTACAGGAAAAAGCACTGTTCCTTGCTTCATGCACTTTTATAACAAATTTGATATTAAACCTAATACTATCTGCTAATCATATCTGTGACTCAGAACTGCATTCTAGATTCTCAGAGAAGGTTGAACCCATTGATTCCATAATTCTTATTTTTCTCATGTAAATATTATGCTCTATAATAACTGGTCTCAGAAGAGGCTATATGATCTTTATATTAAATATTAGATGGGCTGATTTGGATACTTGAATGACAGTAGGAAATTTACTGTTTCTTGTAAAAGTTACACTAAGTAAACTTTTTTCTAAATTAACACTAACTCAAGAAGTTAACTTTTTCTCTTTAACTAGTGTTTTTCATTTTCTGCCAAAAGCCTGCCAGAATTATGGTTGGTAGTTTGTTCACGTTTCCTGCCTCTAGAGGGAGTAATGACACTAGAGAATAATAAAAGTAAAAAAGGCAACCTGAGAGTTATATTGTTTGGTACTGAATTTGGATCAAATTACAGTGGGAAGTTATCTTCTTTTTTAAAAAATGAAGAAAATTTCTATGTATTTTTTAAATAAGAGAAGAAACATTGCTACAAGATTGAGAGAGAGCAGAGATACAGAAAAGTCAACTTTTTGTTAAGGAACATTTAGAATATCACAACAACCTAAATTTAAAAGTGGGCCAACTATCAAAGTTTATGTGTCTGCTGTCTAAAATTCAGGGTGCATTTTCTCCATAGAAATGTCTATAAAGACCATTAATTTCCCATGCAGGGAGATTTGTACCCTGGATAATATATAGGGAGGTTACACTGAGTATGGATGCTATAAATATAATTTGTCAATCTCTCCATACAGGAGATGAGTCTAATTCTTTTCTGTATGTAGTAAAATATTTTTCTAAATCCCCATTACCTTTATCTCTTATTCCCTTTATCTGAGCGTTATTCCAGGGCATGTATCTCTTGTTATCTAAACTTTCCCTATCAAACTCAAGCACTGAATGATTTAGAAATCATTTTGTGATCGGTTCTTTGGATGGAAGTTATATCTACCTGAAAACACTAGAAATTTGGGAACTAATTAGATTCAATTCAGAGAGCCCAATCTCGCTTTCTTTCATCAATTCACTGTTTAAAGGAATGAATGGGAGAAGAAGAGAATCATACACTTAGGCTATATCTTAATTCATAGAGAAATTATTGTGAAATAATTATACTTTAGATATACTAGTCAAAATGCCTTTTATTAGTTAAAGACAGATTTATTATTGCCCTTGTGAAAAACCAGACTGACATAGAGATGCTAAAATGGAAAATAAAACAGTTATTCCTAGCCCTGACTCGGTTGGAGCATCATACTGTGCACCAAAAGTTTGCGGGTTCAAGCCCACACCGGAGGCAATCAATCGATAATATTCTCATTTCCTCTCTCTCCCTCTCTCTCTCTCTCTCCCTCTCCTTCCCCTCCTCCTCCTCCTTCTCCTCCCCCTCCTCAACCTCCCCCTCCTTCTCCTCCTCCTCCCTCCCTCCCTCCCAAAAAAACATACCTTCAGTGAGGATTAAAATAATTGAAAAAATGTATTCCTAACAGTTGCCATTCTGAGACTAGTTGACTTTTTAATTTCTAGTTTTACTTTATTACATTTTTTATTAGCAAATAGTGGAATGCACTCATGCGTTTTATCATTATAAGAGGTGCTGTGTTTGGCTTCTGTTGTTTTTTATTTCTGTTAATAAAACAGCCATCTCTTGTTGCCCTTTACTGACGGGGTTGATGTTGACATGGTTTCTGCATTGATGGAACAACTTTTTTCTTTTAAGAATACCATAGAATGACCTGTTGTTTCTTCTCTATTTCTATATCTGTGCTACTTTCCTACGAGGAAGTTGAAATGCTTTGAAATACATCCTCATTGGGAATGCACAATAAATATTTCCTCTTGTATATTATGTGTGATACCACTGAGATTAGACCTTTCAGCCTCCCAGCCAACTAGACCAGTGATGGCGAACCTATGACGCATGTCAGAGGTGACACGCGAACTCATTTTTTTGGTTGATTTTTCTTTGTTAAATGGCATTTAAATATATAAAATAAATATCAAAAATATAAATCTTTGTTTGACTATGGTTGCAAATATCAAAAAATTTCTCTATGTGACACGGCACCAGAGTTAAGTTAGGGTTTTTCAAAATGCAGACACGCTGAGCTCAAAAGATTCGCCATCACTGCCCTAGACCAACAGCACATCTCTCTGAGAAATAAATACGTTACAGTTTCACCGATTCCGGAGCTCATTACCGGAGGGCAGGTCTCTTGTGGCTGTGGTTGGACTTGTCCCTGAGCATCCTTATTGAAAACTCCGTGTTCTGTTCATGACTCCAGGGCTTCTCATGCGTTCTTTCCCTTACTCCTCACTGCTGCCTCGATAAACTCATGTCTGGTGATGTAACGATGGGTTAGAAGATGATATCTTTGCTAGTTAATAGACCCAGGTTGGATGGAAAAATGGGCTAACACAAAACGTTATCTGTATAGGAACTTAGATAAAGCATTGCTAGTTGGAAGCCCCCTGTTGATGTTAACTCCGTAGAGATGGAGAGGAGTGGTGCTTTTAGCTTCCTAATAAAGGGGCTGGTCACTGTATTCTAGTAGGCCTCAAAAAGAGCAATCTATTTTACCCAATCAAAAGGAGGGGGAGTAAAACCACACACACACACACACACACACACAAGCAAAAGGTTCAAGAGGTGGTCCAGGTTGGGAGAAGAGCAAGAGAGACCAGAGGCTAGAACTTGTGGGAGCATATCTGTCTTGCTCTCTGATGGATTATTCTTAGTATCATGTGGCAGGCTCTCAGTAAATATTGTTTAATGAATGAGAGGGTAAGATGCCAAAGATAAGGTGAACAGGACAAAAGTGTTCAGGAAAGTGACTTACTCTTTAAATTTCTGTCTTAATAAACCTGGTATTTGGGGAGGGTGTGTTTGTTTTCTCTTCCTCTGAGTTCTTTAGCTTCTGTCATTGGAGAGATTGGGTCAAATGCAGTAACATACCATGTGATCTTTCCCATAGCGTCCAAGGGTCTGAAGCAACAGGTATTTCTGCCAATAAATAGTGCATTAATACCTGGAAAGTAAGAGTGAACATTTGAGATGCCTCGTTATTTGAAGGACTCGAATAAAAAGCCAAGTCGTCTTACTATTGGATGAAACATATGAATGAAGGATTTATTTTGAAATCATGTTTGTGTATATGTGACTTTCTTCTGTTCCTTTTTATTTTTTTTTTTAGGTGGCATCCTTAGCTGGGCCTGGAGGGCAAGTGGAAATAGAACAAAACTTTCTTAATAATAAACTGAAGACAATCACTGCTTATTTTGGGAACCTGATTCGAAAACCAGTCTCTGAATCATAACTGAGATGGTACAAGGACAGAAAGATCATGTAGCAGTCAGAACATTATTCAGAGACAATTGCAATTTCTTTCTCTATTTGCTGATCTATTAAACCAGGGGTCCTCAAACTACGGCCCGCGGGCCACATGCAAATACAAATATTGTATTTGCTCCCGTTTTGTTTTTTTACTTCAAAATAAGATATGTGCAGTGTGCGTAGGAAATTGTTCATAGTTTTTTTTTTAAACTATAGTCCGGCCCTCCAATGGTCTGAGGGACAGTGAACTGGCCCCCTGTTTAAAAAGTTTGAGGACCCCTGTATTAAACCCATAATCTTATATCACTATATAAAATGGAAAGTTACAGAAGATTAATGAAGTACTTAGAGATCTTTAAGTAATATTAACTACTAGTATGTGTATTCATTAGGATAGTAAGTGTCTGATAGGGAAAAGGTAGGCTTTCTCTTGTACTTACTAGTAATATCAGTCAGCATGTATGTGTGTATATATGTGCCTATGTCTGTTTTTTAAAAATATTTTATATATTTTGGTTAACATCTTTGTGTGTGTGTGTGTGTGTGTGTGTGTGTGTGTGTGTAAAAATCAATTGTGTTATGTTTAATAAAGAGGAGATACAAAGAAAACAATGAATGAGATAGAGTATCCACCCATTTAATAACCCCTGTTGAAATAAATAATGTTATACTTTTAGGGATAGAAACAAACAGTACAGAGTGGTACACAATGAAAAGTAAAAATCTTCCACCCCTTCCACTACCCTTCCTTCATCTACCTAAAGATAACAGTATTTTAAATTCCTTTAGAGGACAGAAGGAATTGCAGTAGACTCTGAAACACCTTTTCCCCCATTGACGCACTGTTCCACAGGGCCCCCCACCACCACCTTTTTTTTTCTTATGTATTTTTTAGTAGTATATCCTGGAGACCTGTCATGTCAGTACATACATAGAGCTCTACCTCGTTCCTTTTAGTGGCCATCTAGTATTTCATCTCCCGGATATACTGTAATTTAACCAGTTTCTTATTGTTGAAAACTTGGGCTGTTTTGAGGTTTTTTTGCAATTATCAGCTATTCTGTGCTGCGATTTGAGTGCATGTTTTCTTCCATTTCTCCAGCTCTGGACATCATCAAGCACTTTCTTTCATTTTTGCCACCATCTGTGTGAGAAAAATGGTATCTTACTGTTTGTGAGTGTTTCCTTAATTATGAATGAGATTCGATAATATTTTCATACATTTGGTCTTTTTAAAATAGTTTTCCCCTTTTAAACTGACTGCTATCTTTTATTAATTTTTCTTTTGGATTGTTTTTATTTCTTATTCATATGTATGAATTCTTTGTAAATTAAAGACCCCTTTGTTTTTATTTTGTGATTTTTTTTTTTTTTTTTTTTTTTTTTTTACCATACATAAAGTTTTCAATTTTATCAGTCTTTTTTCTTTGCTGCATTTGGGTGGTTTATGTCCTTTAGAAAGATCTTATCCACTCCCAGAATATAAATACATTTATCCCAATCTTTTTTCCAGAATTTTCTTGTTTTCATGTCTTTGCTCTACTCAGAATTTGCTTTGATTTTGTAAAGTTGGTGTTTTTAAAATTTCTATTACAAAAAGAATGTGAAATATATTTTGTAATAAGCTTTATATTTTTTTTCTATTAAAATGGCAAAGAAAGGAGGAAGAATATGTGTTCCTTTGTTATTCATTTAAAAATTGTGTTCGTTCATTTTTACAAGTAGGTGGAAAAAACAGGACTTTCTGGTTATTGGGGATTTGAGACCTTTATCTATATCAGTGGTTCTCAACCTTCCTAATGCCGCGACCCTTTAATACAGTTCCTCATGTTGTGATGACCCCCAATTTCATTGTTACAAATTGAACATAATTAAAGCATAGTGATTAATCACAAAAACAATATGTAATTATATATGTGTTTTCCGATGTTCTTAGGCAACCCCTGTGAAAGGGTCGTTTGACCCCTAAAGGGGCCGCGGCCCACAGGTTGAGAACCGCTGATCTATATATATAAAAGCCTAAACGACTGTTATGGCGGAATGACCAGAACAACCAGTCACTATGATGCACACTGAGCAGGCAAGCGGGCAAGCAGGCAGGCAGGCAAGTGGTTAGGGGCAAGGGGTCGCAGATTGCAAGAGGGCACAGGTCGGGCTGACACCCCGGCCCGCCCCCCCCCCCCCCACACACACACACACACACACACACACACGATTTTCGTGCACTTGGCCTCTAGTCTTTTAACCCTTTGTGGTCCAATTTTATTTTTGGAATTCAAACAGTCTGGTCCGAATTGGAAGTCCTTCCTCTGTTGATTGCAGTAGTTCCTTGGTGGAAGTTGCCAATTAGCTCAATCACCACCTCAGCTCGATGTGGGACCTGCAACTAGTGCCTGGTCTGTCGAGTCAGCCTCGATGTTGGACCGCAAAAGGTTAATAATGTGAGCATGTTAAGCATTAAACAAAAAATGGTTTGGGCTAGGATGGAGCTGGAGGAATTGGAATAAATTGGGGTAATTCCCAGTAAGTACTGGAAAAAATAACTATTAAGTCAAAAACACCTTTGTTGGAGTTTAGAAGCAATACTAATTTTAGTCTCTTGAAATTTTACAATGTAGGCCTTGTTACTCTGCAATACAGTAGCAATTGCACTGGTCATTAAAGATTAAATTACTTTTTTCAACATCAAAATCTGTCAATGTTCTCAGTTTTTATAATTTTTCATCAGGTAGCATTAGTGTATATATCATAAACATGTCACCATTTTCTAAATAATATAGGCATTGGTCATGAACAGCTCTACCTGTGGCCTCTAGAACTCGAATGTGACCTTACTTAGCCACTTGTTTTTGTCAGTTAACCTTTTATGCAGACACTTTTTCTGCAACACGTTTTCCTACTTGTATGCTGTTAATATTTAAATTAGTCTTCCTGAACATACATGACCCTATGTGAGAACAGAAAGCCTGACCAAGATTTAAATATTCTTGTCCACTAATCCCACATAGATGTAACTGATTTATAGACCTGTTTATAGATTACTAGTGCTCAAAAAACTTTATTATGCAACCCTGCATTTAAATAAAATCTTACCAAGAAGCCAAATATGCAAAATAGATAAAAAGTGAAGCCCCTAGAGCTACTTAGGATAAAACAAGAAGCTAGCAGTCCTTGTTCTAGTCCAACTCTTGTTAAACTTTTTAAAGCCATTTTTATAAAATGAATATGCATTTAAACAATTTCAATCCAAAGTGAACAAATTCAAGAGTTTGCAGATCAAGAAAACTGAAGTCCTAGAAAACTAAGTAATTTGTCCAAGTTTAACGAGCTATTACTAATAAGTGTAGCCGAGGTTGGAACCCAAGTACTCTGTGTACAGAATTACTGTGCTTTTCTGCAAATGAGATTTAACAAACGGGATCTTCTGTGCCTTAGATCTTCACGGATAGAGATGAGTCTATAAATAGAGCAGTGGTTCTCAACCTTCTGGCCCTTTAAATACAGTTCCTCATGTTGTGACCCAACCATAAAATTATTTTTGTTGCTACTTCATAACTAATGTCGCTACTGTTATGCATCGTACTGTAAATATCTGATATGCAGGATGGTCTTAGGCGACCCCTGTGAAAGGGTCGTTCGACCGCCAAAGGGGTCACAACCCACAGGTTGAGAACCGCTGAAATAGAGCCTCCTTTGCTGTGCCTTAGTTTGTCCATCTGGAAAACATACTAATAACATGTACACACATAGGGTGATCATGAGAATTATATGAATTAATGTTTGTAAAGTGCTCCGTGTATCTGGCATGTGGTAAAGTCTAGCCAGTATTGTTTAATATTATTCTTAAGGAAAAATGAGAGATCAAAGAAGGTTTTCATGATAAAAAACAAACTGCATAAAGAAAGAATGTGTCTCAATATGATAAGGGCCATTTATGACAAGCCCACAGCTGACATCAAATTCAGCAGTTGAAAAGCTGAAATCTTTTCCTCTATGTTCAGGAACAAGACAAGGGTGCCCACTCTAACCATTTTTATTCAACATACTACTGGAAGTCCTAGCCAGAACAATTAGGCAAGAGAATTAAAAGGCATTCAAATCAGAAAGGAAGAAGTGAAACTATATTTGCAGGTGTCATAATATATATAGAAAATCCTAAAGGCTCCACAAAAAAACTGTTAAAACTAATAAACACTCAGTGAAGTTGCAGGATACAATTTCAGTACATAAATATCAGTTGTCTTTCTAGACAGTAATAAACTATCAGAAAGAAAAATCAAGATAATAAGCTCATTTACAATTGCATCAAAAAATAAAATACTTGGGACTAATTTATTTTTAATTTATTGTTAAAAATATTACCTATGTCCCATTTTTTTCCCATTGACCCCCTCCACCCTGCCCCTGTGCATCCCCAGGCCTTCACCACACTATTGTCCATGTTCATGGATCTAAATTTTTTTAAAATATGTTTTTATTAATTTTAGAGAGAGGGGAAGGGAAAGGGAGAGAGAAACAAAAATGAGTGATCTGCCTCCTGCACGCCCCCTGCTGGGGATCAAGCCTGCATCCTGGACATGTTCCCTGGACCAGGAATCCAACCTGCAACCTCTCAGTGCTGGGATGATGCTCAACCAACTGAACCACACCGGCCAGGGCCCTGGGACTAAATTTAACCAAAGAGGTGAAAGACCTATACACTGGAAACTAGAAGACATTGATGAAATAAATTGAAGACACAAATAAATGGAAAGATATTTCATGCTCAAGTGTCCATACTACACAAAGCAATATACAGATTCAATGCAAACCCTATCACAATTCCAATGGCATTCTTCAGAGAAATAAGGCAAGCAATTCTAAAATTTGTATGGAACCACAAAAGACCCTAAATAGGCAAAGCAATCCTGAGAAAGAAAATCAGTTGAAGTTTTACTGACTTTAAAGTATTACAAGGCTATAGTAATCAAAACTATACTATTGGTATAAAAACAGAGACTTACAAAAATGGAACAAAATGAGAGCTCAAAAATAAAACCACACAGATACAGTCAATTTATGGCAAAGAAGTCAACAGTATATAATGGGAAAGGATTGTCTCTTCAATAAATGCTGTTGGTAAAACTGAACAGCTGGACCACTATCTTACATCATATCAAAAAATAATCAACTCAAAGTAGATTAAAGACCTAGACATAATGCCTGAAATCATAAAATTCCTGGAAGAAAACATAGAAGGCTCACTCCTTGGCCTCATTCTTGACCTCATTTTTTTTTTAATTTTACACCAAAAGCAAAAATAAACAAGTGCGACTACATCAAACTGAAAAGTTACTGTACAGCAAAGAAAACCATCAACAAAATGAAAAAGCAACCTACAGAATGGGAGAACATATTTACAAATCACTTATATGATAAGGAGTTAATATCCAAAGTCTATAAAGGACCTTCTTAAGAATTTTGTGAATTTTCTTCTTTTTGTAAATGGATAAAGTTAGAGGCGTGAATATTAGAGTTATCATGTCTTCTTGTTCCTAACCCTAAGACCTTCATCTTCTTG